AACGTCTCGATGACACCACACAGTCGGCAATGGCGTTGTGAGCATTTCCGAACGTCCTCGATGACACCACACAGTCGGCAATGGCGTTGTGAGCATTTCCGAACGTCTCGATGACACCACACAGTCGGCAATGGCGTTGTGAGCATTGCCGAGCGTTCGGAAATGCTCACAACGCCATTGCCGACCGTGAAGCGTCAATGAACACGCTCGTCGAATGCTCACAACGCCATTGCCGACTGTGTGGTACATCGAGACCTTCGGAAATGCTCACAACGCCATTGCCGACTGTGTAGCGTCATGAACACGCTCGGCAATGCTCACAACGCCATTGCCGACTTTGTGGTGTCATCGAGACGTTCGAGCTCACAACGCCATTGCCGACTGTGTGGTGTCATCAAGACGTTCGGAAATGCTCACAACGCCATTGCCGACTGTGTGGTGTCATCGAGACGTTCGGAAATGCTCACAACGCCATTGCCGACTGTGTGGTGTCATCGAGACGTTCGGAAATGCTCACAACGCCATTGCCGACTGTGTGGTGTCATCGAGACGTTCGGAAATGCTCACAACGCCATTGCCGACTGTGTGGTGTCATCGAGACGTTCGGAAATGCTCACAACGCCATTGCCGACTGTGTGGTGTCATCGAGACGTTCGGAAATGCTCACAACGCCATTGCCGACTGTGTGGTGTCATCGAGACGTTCGGAAATGCTCACAACGCCATTGCCGACTGTGTGGTGTCATCGAGACGTTCGGAAATGCTCACAACGCCATTGCCGACTGTGTGGTGTCATCGAGACGTTCGGAAATGCTCACAACGCCATTGCCGACTGTGTAGCGTCATGAACACGCTCGGCAATGCTCACAACGCCATTGCCGACTGTGTGGTGTCATCGAGACGTTCGGAAATGCTCACAACGCCATTGCCGACTGTGTGGTGTCATCGAGACGTTCGGAAATGCTCACAACGCCATTGCCGACTGTGTGGTGTCATCGAGACGTTCGGAAATGCTCACAACGCCATTGCCGACTGTGTGGTATCATCAAGACGTTCGGAAATGCTCACAACGCCATTGCCGACTGTGTGGTGTCATCAAGACTTTCGGAAATGCTCACAACGCCATTGCCGACTGTGTGGTGTCATCGAGACGTTCGGAAATGCTCACAACGCCATTGCCGACTGTGTAGCGTCATGAACACGCTCGGCAATGCTCACAACGCCATTGCCGACTGTGTGGTGTCATCGAGACGTTCGGAAATGCTCACAACGCCATTGCCGACTGTGTAGCGTCATGAACACGCTCGGCAATGCTCACAACGCCATTGCCGACTGTGTGGTGTCATCGAGACGTTCGGAAATGCTCACAACGCCATTGCCGACTGTGTAGCGTCATGAACACGCTCGGCAATGCTCACAACGCCATTGCCGACTGTGTGGTGTCATCGAGACGTTCGGAAATGCTCACAACGCCATTGCCGACTGTGTGGTGTCATCGAGACGTTCGGAAATGCTCACAACGCCATTGCCGACTGTGTAGCGTCATCGATACGTTCGGAAATGCTCACAACGCCATTGCCGACTGTGTGGTGTCATCGAGACGTTCGGAAATGCTCACAACGCCATTGCCGACTGTGTAGCGTCATGGACACGCTCGGCAATGCTCACAACGCCATTGCCGACTGTGTGGTGTCATCGAGACGTTCGGAAATGCTCACAACGCCATTGCCGACTTTGTGGTGTCATCGAGACGTTCGGAAATGCTCACAACGCCATTGCCGACTGTGTGGTGTCATCGAGACGTTCGGAAATGCTCACAACGCCATTGCCGACTGTGTGGTGTCATCGAGACGTTCGGAAATGCTCACAACGCCATTGCCGACTGTGTGGTGTCATCGAGACGTTCGGAAATGCTCACAACGCCATTGCCGACTGTGTGGTGTCATCGAGACGTTCGGAAATGCTCACAACGCCATTGCCGACTGTGTGGTGTCATCGAGACGTTCGGAAATGCTCACAACGCCATTGCCGACTGTGTGGTGTCATCGAGACGTTCGGAAATGCTCACAACGCCATTGCCGACTGTGTGGTGTCATCGAGACGTTCGGAAATGCTCACAACGCCATTGCCGACTGTGTGGTGTCATCGAGACGTTCGGAAATGCTCACAACGCCATTGCCGACTGTGTGGTGTCATCGAGACGTTCGGAAATGCTCACAACGCCATTGCCGACTGTGTGGTGTCATCGAGACGTTCGGAAATGCTCACAACGCCATTGCCGACTGTGTGGTGTCATCGAGACGTTCGGAAATGCTCACAACGCCATTGCCGACTGTGTGGTGTCATCGAGACGTTCGGAAATGCTCACAACGCCATTGCCGACTGTGTGGTGTCATCGAGACGTTCGGAAATGCTCACAACGCCATTGCCGACTGTGTGGTGTCATCGAGACGTTCGGAAATGCTCACAACGCCATTGCCGACTGTGTGGTGTCATCGAGACGTTCGGAAATGCTCACAACGCCATTGCCGACTGTGTGGTGTCATCGAGACGTTCGGAAATGCTCACAACGCCATTGCCGACTGTGTGGTGTCATCGAGACGTTCGGAAATGCTCACAACGCCATTGCCGACTGTGTGGTGTCATCGAGACGTTCGGAAATGCTCACAACGCCATTGCCGACTGTGTGGTGTCATCGAGACGTTCGGAAATGCTCACAACGCCATTGCCGACTGTGTGGTGTCATCGAGACGTTCGGAAATGCTCACAACGCCATTGCCGACTGTGTGGTGTCATCGAGACGTTCGGAAATGCTCACAACGCCATTGCCGACTGTGTGGTGTCATCGAGACGTTCGGAAATGCTCACAACGCCATTGCCGACTGTGTGGTGTCATCGAGACGTTCGGAAATGCTCACAACGCCATTGCCGACTGTGTGGTGTCATCGAGACGTTCGGAAATGCTCACAACGCCATTGCCGACTGTGTGGTGTCATCGAGACGTTCGGAAATGCTCACAACGCCATTGCCGACTGTGTGGTGTCATCGAGACGTTCGGAAATGCTCACAACGCCATTGCCGACTGTGTGGTGTCATCGAGACGTTCGGAAATGCTCACAACGCCATTGCCGACTGTGTGGTGTCATCGAGACGTTCGGAAATGCTCACAACGCCATTGCCGACTGTGTGGTGTCATCGAGACGTTCGGAAATGCTCACAACGCCATTGCCGACTGTGTGGTGTCATCGAGACGTTCGGAAATGCTCACAACGCCATTGCCGACTGTGTGGCGTCATGGACACGCTCGGCAATGCTCACAACGCCATTGCCGACTGTGTGGTGTCATCGAGACGTTCGGAAATGCTCACAACGCCATTGCCGACTGTGTGGTGTCATCGAGACGTTCGGAAATGCTCACAACGCCATTGCCGACTGTGTGGTGTCATCGAGACGTTCGGAAATGCTCACAACGCCATTGCCGACTGTGTGGTGTCATCGAGACGTTCGGAAATGCTCACAACGCCATTGCCGACTGTGTGGTGTCATCGAGACGTTCGGAAATGCTCACAACGCCATTGCCGACTGTGTGGTGTCATCGAGACGTTCGGAAATGCTCACAACGCCATTGCCGACTGTGTGGTGTCATCGAGACGTTCGGAAATGCTCACAACGCCATTGCCGACTGTGTGGTGTCATCGAGACGTTCGGAAATGCTCACAACGCCATTGCCGACTGTGTGGTGTCATCGAGACGTTCGGAAATGCTCACAACGCCATTGCCGACTGTGTGGTGTCATCGAGACGTTCGGAAATGCTCACAACGCCATTGCCGACTGTGTGGTGTCATCGAGACGTTCGGAAATGCTCACAACGCCATTGCCGACTGTGTGGTGTCATCGAGACGTTCGGAAATGCTCACAACGCCATTGCCGACTGTGTGGTGTCATCGAGACGTTCGGAAATGCTCACAACGCCATTGCCGACTGTGTGGTGTCATCGAGACGTTCGGAAATGCTCACAACGCCATTGCCGACTGTGTGGTGTCATCGAGACGTTCGGAAATGCTCACAACGCCATTGCCGACTGTGTGGTGTCATCGAGACGTTCGGAAATGCTCACAACGCCATTGCCGACTGTGTGGTGTCATCGAGACGTTCGGAAATGCTCACAACGCCATTGCCGACTGTGTGGTGTCATCGAGACGTTCGGAAATGCTCACAACGCCATTGCCGACTGTGTGGTGTCATCGAGACGTTCGGAAATGCTCACAACGCCATTGCCGACTGTGTGGTGTCATCGAGACGTTCGGAAATGCTCACAACGCCATTGCCGACTGTGTAGCGTCATGAACACGCTCGGCAATGCTCACAACGCCATTGCCGACTGTGTGGTGTCATCGAGACGTTCGGAAATGCTCACAACGCCATTGCCGACTGTGTGGTGTCATCGAGACGTTCGGAAATGCTCACAACGCCATTGCCGACTGTGTGGTGTCATCGAGACGTTCGGAAATGCTCACAACGCCATTGCCGACTGTGTGGTATCATCAAGACGTTCGGAAATGCTCACAACGCCATTGCCGACTGTGTGGTGTCATCAAGACTTTCGGAAATGCTCACAACGCCATTGCCGACTGTGTGGTGTCATCGAGACGTTCGGAAATGCTCACAACGCCATTGCCGACTGTGTAGCGTCATGAACACGCTCGGCAATGCTCACAACGCCATTGCCGACTGTGTGGTGTCATCGAGACGTTCGGAAATGCTCACAACGCCTGCTTGCACGAGCTTTCAAGCCAGGGATGTGGACACTTCCACTTGGTGAATTCACGTTTTAAATTTATCCCCGAAAATACCAGTATATACAGGGTGTCTCAGGATTATCCGGACAAACTTTCAATGCCATTTCTTCCTATTTATTTCCTGTTTTATGCGCACACCTTGTCACTCCTAACAATCTTCGAGGTATTTTTGAGGCACTGGCAAAGTTTCGCGAGGCTATGACATATCGCTTCGTAAAAAATCGAAGAAGTTTGAACGTAATTTCTCCCATCTGGCAAACCCTCAAAACGCATGCTGTTTCCGTCGCTATAAAAATCTTCAATATAACCGGCATAACAAAGAAACCATAAAAAGAGATCGGAAATAATAAGTCCATGCTCAGCCCGGCCCAAAAACGTCAGGTTGACTCTAGGGAAAAAATCAGCGAGCCAAAAAGATGAAATCAAGTGACGCGCCGCCGTATTAACCTTACAAGTTTTAGCCCGGAAGAACTCTAAAAATCCGATAAGATACTTTTCAAAGGATAAAAACCTAAATAGCTACAGTAACAATGATGTACAAGCAATTTAGACCAAGTTAGCTTAGATTTCTGAGGAGCTTGAGCACGAGCAACCTTCGAAACACCCTTATCAGCGATGCACAGGAAGTTGATATTAAATTAGAAAATAATCATTGACATGACCAAACTTTGGCGCAAACAGGTCCGTTTTGCCAGAAAACGTCATATCTTGTCCAGAAAAACGTCGGAACACTTTTTGAACCCTTGCCCCAAGTTTCGTGCTATTTAAGAGGCAAAAAATCTTACCGCGTTCTTCGCTTGATTCTGAAGTTATTCATGTGTCTTCAAAAAATTTTTTTTGCTCAGAACATTGCAAACGCCTCAAAAACTCATATGAAATACATTAGGTTGAAAGACAAGAGCGCTAAAGGTGAAAAAATGACTATTTCGTTTTGTCCGGATAATCCTGAGACACCCTGTATAATAGAGCAACAATAATATTAGGTTGGACCGAAAGTAATTGTAATATTTCGATTGTAAAAATTTTATGGAAGCCACCATTCGTTCATTCAAATTTTTTGCTATGATGGAGGGTTAAGTCTTGTCCAGTTTCAGTTTTATTTTTAACTCGGGACTGCTACAAATTTTTTAGTTAGCTGGAGAAGATCGAGCGCAATCCAGATTCCGGGTTATTGGTTTCCGTGAAGGATTTCGCCGCCCGTTCCGACCCTAGTGACCTGAATAAGTGATAGTAGATAGAGAAAAATTTGGGCTATGCAGTGCATTAAAGAAAATTTTAATAGCTAGCTGCATTATTTTTTCCCAGATCCTACTATATATAAAAAAATAGTTCTTGTGTGTGTGTGTGCATTTGAATGCAACTTCCGTCACCGTGTCCGGAGGATATCTCAAGAGGGGAAGGGTGTTAGGCTACGTATGATACGTCATTGGGTGCCTAACGTCCCCGAGATGACTGCACGCATATCAGATTTTGCAAATTATGCTATTTTCGACATTAAAATTGAGTTTTTGTTGAAAAATCCGGCAGCCTTCTTTGTTAGGAAATAATTAGCATACGCCGGAAGTGGCGGAAGCCTATATATAACGTGAGAGAGTGGAATTCCTCATTTTCCCCCCATAGGAATTCGAGAGACGTATGCAGAGTGAAGAATTTCATCAAGTTAGACGGGGCCAGGGTTGAAAAGTCGCGAAGCGGCTTTTCAACCCTGGTCAATTTTAAAAGATGTCAATCTGGGTTTTCGGGCTACGAATCGACACATTCCTTTGTCTGCCGTTTTCTCCGAGTTTAGTGGATAACTTTTTGAGTGGACTCTATCAAAATGAAGCTTAATGAAAGCTGTTGCATGTGTTATGTCTCCGTCTGGAATTGAGAAATGAAACGTGATTTTGAGCACATTTTGGTTTTATTTTTTTTCTCCGCGAAAGAATGGGTTTAGGGTACGGGTAATTTTAACACAGTAAATACTGTGGATGACCAATAGTACCGCACGATAGAAAAACCTTGATTGGCAAAGGTCAAAGAGTAGCAATGCAAATTGTGTGTCGCCAGCCATTCTCCGGGTCGGTCACTTGGTGCCTCACTACTTTGCAAAATTTGTTCAGATAAAGAAGGGTGGGAAAATAGCTGGGATTAGTATTATGTTTGTCAATAAAAACTGCCTATGATAAACAGATCAGATTTAATTTCATTATCCTCAATAAATTTAAGGGAGCCTTTTAGTTAAGCAGTCCGAAAAGTCGGATTTTTATCCAAACAAATGAGAATATCGGCCGACTGTAAATCCGTTAGCTGAATTGGACACCATAGTCAGAAAGATATTAAACTGGCATTATACAATAAAAATTACGCTTGGGGGATTCCGACACTAACAGTTGTTATAAGGCTGGAAAGAAAGAGGCATCCCGGATGCCGCCGCTACGGGTCGACCGGTGCCACGGACTAAATAAATTATAAAAAAAGTTGTGGAGCTAGGATTTGCGCGATATTTTTAGGCGATATAGTACTGTGCTCGACCAAACAGAGAAAATTAAAAAAACAGTCCGTTACTTGGTGGACTTACTAGAAATATTGACCCGAAAATCGATTACAATTACTTTCGGTCCAACCTAATAATACAATCATAACAATCGGCAATAATAACAACGATAGGGAACAATGATACAGAGCAGAATCGAGGCACGACAAGCGGTAACATGGAGATGGCTTGGATGTTGGCGGTGATGGCGAGAATGATTCTTCACTTCTTCAATTCACAGGCTGTGGTCGGGATGATGATCAGCCATCCCCTGAAATTGAGTTCGGTTTGTGAGGCTATTTCGGCTATTTTTCTTTATTCGGTTGACTCAAAGTTTTTTATGAGCAAAATGTCTTTAGATATGGGTTTCTCGGGCTATAAAGAAGCTCTTGCTATATTTTTTGGCGAACGAATGGCATTTTCAAAATATCGGAAATATTCAAAACGCCCAAAATAGTTAGTTAATCCTGCCCATTGTTTTCAAAAATAATTTTTAGGCTATAAAAGTTTTATAATACATTTTCGAGTTGTAAAAAACCTTCTGTCGTTTTTGGACGTTCTGTCGATTGGCGTTTTCAAAATATCGAAACTCGCAAAAATTTGGCTCCCCTCCTCCGTTATCTTCTCATCCTCAAAAGTACCGACATTTTCTTCAGCAGCGAAACGGCATCGGCGAAGCGATCGCGGATAGCAGCCGGGGAGACGCGCCGAATGGCAGCCAGGCTGTCCCTAAAGTCATTCGTAACTGCGTGTCAATTTTTGCATTGCTTTTTGCTACAAACAAAACTTAAAGCAAACCAGATGGTTACAGTCGCTTCGCCACTGCAACCATCTGGCCTTCGGGCTACCCTACATGTCCCACTCCACCACATCCTTTCCCACCTCCATAAATACTCCCCATAGCCGAAATCCCCTTCAAAACTAAATACCTTCCTGATGGCTTCAGATACCCCCATGGCTGAAATCCGCTTCAAAAACTACCTAAATACCTTCCTAGATACCTTAAATAATTTAAATAATTAATTAACATAATTAAAAAGTATTAAAAAGTATATTAAAAAGTATTAAAGTAACTTAAGAAAGCGATCAGGGGCCTGGCGAAGAGGGGCGAGGGGAAAGGGGGCGTGGCCTCCCGGGAGAGGCCCCCCCCCTTTTACTAAGGAAAAACTTTCAAAGTTAATTTTAATAATTTAAACTAAAAGTTTTTCATAATTTTTTTTATCAGTTCGGGGTTTCTGACGGCGCTCTATCCGAATCCGAAGAGAGCTAAGCTCTAGCTCCTTTCCCCTTCGAGTTGAATTCGGCTTCACACGGACAGACAGACGCGTCAAGAAAATTATTATAGTTGATTTTTCGACGCTCTTTCGAAAGGAAGTTTGCGCCATTTTGGTCATAGTGAGCCAGGTCGCGCGCGTTTCGTGGCGAACAGAGCCGAAAAGTTTCACACGCAGGCATTTCATTTCTTCCCCCCCACGTAGCCGGTTGGTCGTTGTTTTGATTTTCTAAGAGAATGCTGCCCCCCCCCCGCTAGCAGTCCAGTACCCAGTAGACTTACTTTTCATTGCCAACGGGGGCCCAGTTCTTGTTCGTCCGCTGGTTTTTGAGCCTCTTCCCGGTGTCCCGTCGGAGCAGCTGTGTTACGAGGGCGGTTTGGCGCTGCGGGCCGGTCATCATTTTTGTGTAGAAAATGTTGGCCGCGATGTACTTGGAGCGTTTGATGATGGCCTCCGTCAGCGTGAATATATCCTGGAAATTCAGGTAAGAGTTTGCTTTATCCCCGCCAGCCCGGAAGGCCCCAAGAATTTTTTTTTGAAACTACCAATCGGTAGCCCCAGGCCCCAGCTACTGTCCCCTGGCCGCAACTTGCAAAAAAATATTAAAATTTATACAATTAAAATAGTGTTTGAGCGGTTGTTCCGATCCTGCATGTTTTTGCCATAACTATTTTATTTTACTTTATTTTGGGTTGCAATTAAAACACTTGGTACATTTTTTGATGCTCCATCAAATGCGGTTAATGAAATTTTGTAAAAAATGTCGAAAATGTCGAAAACTAGCTTTGCACCCCCTGTTCCTACAGGGAATCCGCGTCCAAATCTTGTTTTTACTATAACTATTTTATAGTGCATTATTTCTGGTCAAAATAAAAAACTTGTAATGTATTTTTTTAATGCTCTATCGAACGACGTTTCGAAAATGTCGAAAAAATGGCCGAAATATCGAAATACTAGCTTTTTAACCCCATTTTTAGAGTTTTTTTTTGTTTTTATATTACTGTTTTGTATTAGATTATTTTTGGCTGAATTTAAAACTCGTACTATATTTTTCGATGCTCCTTCCAATGGAGCATCGAAAATGTCGAAAAAATACCGAAATATCGAAAAACCAGCTTTCTAACCCATTTTTAGAGGTTATTTTTGGTTTTTGCTATACCTATTTTGTATCACAAAATTTTGAGCTGCCTTTAAAAATGAGCACATTTTTTTGATGGTCTATCGAATGACGTTGAGAAAATTCCCAAAAAACCCAAAAAGATCGAGAACTTTGGGGCCCGAGGGGGGGGGGGGGTAAAGCTAACCGTAGCCGGAATTCAGATATGAGGTGGGAAAACATGAACACACCAGCTGTGCCCGGATGCTCTTGATTGCTTGGTCGGGCTGGGGCACACAGGTGATCTTCAGCGTTAGAAGTTGGAGGGCTTCGTTGTAGTCGACGATCACGCTATACCCCAGTCCTGTACCACGAATCGCGCGCACCACCGGGCCTGAAATCAGATGGAATCAAATGGTACAGTATTGAAAATTTTACTTAGTTAAAATAGCAATTCTTTTTATTATTATTGTTAATAATATTATTATCATATAATATTTTAATAGATATTAACAGTTGTTCCTTAGTCTATATAATTTTCTATTTTCATTGAAATTAGAGGGGAATCCGAAGGACCCAAACTATCGGCTAGCAAAGGCCGCATTCCAGCGCTCAGCGCCCGCGAAGCCGGTTTTCGGCAGAAACCTGATTTTTTCGTATTTGTTTACCGAAATGTTGTAAATTTTGCGCATTTAAGAATAGTAAAAATATGTAGACACACTTTCACTGTTCACATTTAAGAAACTGAATCCCCCCCGATAATGGGAAAGAACCCTGGATTCAAAGAAAGTGCGTGTTCTAGCACCCCAAAACCAGGTAACAATCTCTACCTGCGAAATCCTCGAGCAGTGCCGCCACCGCCAAGGTGGTAGCCACGTCAGCGGTCGTCGTGGCCGACATCGGGATCGAGGCATGCAGTGTTGTCAGCCCCACGAACCCGTGCACGTGCCAGTTTCGAGGGGAGATGGGCAGCAGCCGGGTCGCCTCGCACTAAATTACGAAATTAATGTTTTAAAGGGGCTCCGAAATCTGATCCCTCCGGGTTGATTCCTCGCAAAGAGCCAGATGCAACCGCACCGCGACCGCGCCGAATAATCTTTTGCTCCGGTTTGAACGTGAAAACGCTTGAATTTAAAAATTCCGACGCTGTTTCAGAAATCCTCATTGAATTTTGATAATTCCAGATGTTCTAATTATGAAAATTGAGAAGAGAATGGCTGCGATCCTGAGATTGGGTGCCTTACAAGGCATTACGACATGTAATCGCCGCCCACTCAAAATGACGTTTTCGCCCCAAGAACATTACGGTTTTTCTCAAGTACTTTGCGTTTGTTCGCAACGAAATCACTTTTCTGGTATTCATCTCTTGAATTCAAGCGCTTTCGCGTGCAAACAGGGGGGCAAAGGATCACATGGCGCGGTCGCGTTGCGGTCGCATCTGGCTATTTTCCAGAAACCAACGCATGAGACCCTGGCCCAGATTTCCGAGCCCCTCTAAGAAAACGGTGCTTACCCGGATGAACGTTTGCTGGGGCTGCTTCGGGTCGACGACGGTCAGGAAATGCCATTTTTTGATGTCCTTCAGGCATTCGATCGCCTTCTCGTTGCATAAGAAGTGCAGGTTGACGGTGCCCCTCTTGTACTGCTCGACAACCTGGAATGCTGCCAATCCGCCTCCTTTCACACAAAAGCTACCTTTTCAAACACCTCCCAGCCTTTGTTGTAGGTTTCCTTGGAGCCGAGTTGTAATGGGCTGGTGTATGGGATATCGGCCACTAGAACGAAAGCTGTCATGGTTTAGAGTACAGGGTGTCCCAACCCCCCCCCCCCACCCCCCTCGGCATTTCGCCGTCTTCTATCGGATCGGGACGGAATTTTTACCAGCGATAAGGAGACATAAAAACTATTTGCAGCCGAATTTTCTACGCAAAATATTGTAAAACAAAAAAGTTATCGCAAAAAAAAACCGATTTTTGGGAAATGCGGGTACCTATTTCTGGCTATACTTTCGCAACTAGCATGACGAGTTCCGAAAAATGGTCATTCTCGGGCCGATTTCCGCCAATTTTGCTTACAAAAGAAAGAAACTACGGAAAGAAGTGCGTTCTTCGTGTTTGCGCAGCATTTCGAGGCCCAAATCCATCAAAATCCTAGTGAAATCGGCAAAATAAATCTTCATTTCGATATAACTCTTTGGTTTCCAATATTCTGCTTTGAAAAATCGGCCACCATCGCTGCCCAAAATTTGGTATCGATCCGATAGAAGACGGTGAAATGCCGAGCGGGGGTAGGGGGGGGGGTTGGGACACCCTGTATATTTGCTGTTTTTTGCGTAATGTCGAAATTCAATAGAATTCACGAGCGTCGACAGTCTCAGCAACACTGGGTTGCAAACCAACCCTTCATTTGCCACAGGAGGTCAATGTCGTCGTCGGTTTGTCGCCCGCCGCGCCCTCCGGTTAAGTGTTTCTTCGCGTGTTCAAAACTGAAAAATCATATTGTTATTCGAGCTTCACTGGTTAAAGCTAGCGAAACTTAAAGTCTCCTCTCGCTTACAAGCGGAATTTTTCGAGTTACGTTTTTTCGAGTTACGAGTTCGCGGGGGGGTTTCGAGTTTTTCGAGTTACGAGTTATTTTTAAATACGCCATTCGATAGAGCATGCAAAAATATACTAACCATATTCATTTTAGTTCACAATAATTTTATATAAAAGAGTTATCACAAATACTAGTATTAAACGTGTTCGAAAGCTAGTTTTCCATTTTCGATATTTTTACAAATTTCTTAAAGGTCATTTGAAAACCGACTAAGAGCTTTGATGTTAGCAAAAAAATGCAAAAAAAAACAGTTAGGTCGGCAAAAAAATAGCAAAATAGCAAACAGTCTTTCGAACCGGGAAGGTTGTGCAAAAACGAGCGCAAAAACCGACTGTTCTTGCAACGTGTTGTTGTTGTCGTCGTTGTTCTTGTTGTTCTTGTTCTTGGTTTTGTTCTTGTTGTCGTTGCGGTTGGTGGCAGTGTCTGCGGCATCTTTTATTTCCTGCTCGCCCTTCTCGTCGTCGCGGAGTAGGTATTGCTGCAGCCATCCGGGCAACTCGCCGACGTCGTTCAAATCACACTAAAGATAAACGCCGTGGAGCGAAGAAAGTACCATCAATTCAATGCAAAATAGCCGTTGGCCCAACCCTTCGTAACCCGGATGGCAGCCGTGCAGAAGTCGTGGCCGATCGCCGACTGCGGTTACAGAAAAATGAGGTATTTCGTGTCATCAGGTGCTTACCGTTCTCCCCGAAAGCTTGCTGCAGCAGGCAGGAGAGCAGGAGGCGCTCTGCCTTGGATAGCAATCGGCCGGGGACCTCGACAATTGCAAGCACCTTAAAAGACATTCATGTGAGGAAACCGACTTGCTAGCATAACCACGAGATTTCAAAATATCGACATTTTAAAATGTCGAAATTTCATAATGTCAAAATTCAGAATGTCGACGTTTTTTGATTCGGATTTAGAATTTCGACATCACGAATTTCGTTGAGTCTCATTTTTCTGAAGCCCCACCTTGATGTACTGGCTGTCATTCAGAATGACCGAAGTCGGCACCACGAAATTCGCTTTATCGTAGTTGTCGTGGTACGGTAGAAACTTCTAAACAAGCACCGTGACCGCATCGCTCCAACCGGGCACCCAACCGGAGGTCCACATAGGATAGCGGGGGGGATGAAATAACGGGAGGCACCCAAATTTTTTTATGATCCATGTATTTTTAAATATGCTTTTTTTGGGCTATAAAAAAGCTCTTAGTCTATTTTTCCGCTCTCTATCGGATGGCATTTTCAGAATATCGAAAAGTTTCAAAACGGCGAAAATATGTCCCCCCCATTATCTTATGTGCTGCCCATAGTTTTCAGAATAGTTTTTAGCCTACAAAACTTTTACAATCCATTTTTTCGCATTGTAAAAAAATCTACTAGGATATTTTCTTTGAGGTTTTATCGATTGACGTTTTCAAAATATCGCAAAACTCACAAGTTTTACTTTCGCGCCATCATCGAATGGCACTCGCAAATCCGACAGTGATTGCAAATTTCATAATAATGAGTGCCCCCCTCCGTTATTTTATCCCCCCCCCCCTCGATATGCTATGAGTACCCAACCGGATCCGATCGATCAATATCCGGCTCGAACCGGGTAATTGGTCGACCGGGTCCGCAACCGGATGCCAGATAACAACTCTCAAACTGACCGAGCATTTGAGCGGTGGGAATGCGGCCTTGCGCGCGGAGAGCTTCATATTCAACGCTTTTGGCAGCCCTTTCATATTTTGTGGCTCAGTGACGGCTAAGAGGCGCTTGGGCACGGCGGATTGGCGGCCGATCTAAAGCAAACATTCCTTGGACCATTCGTTCGTACGGTTGGGAACTTTCGTGGATAGCCGTAAACCGGCTCGTAGGGGAGCCCTCTTTTTTCGGGGTACCCGAAAAATTTCGCTAACACAAATTTTTGGAAACAATAATAATGTCGAAATTTTGTAATAACGAAATTCGGTTCTTGTGTATTTCCGGGGGGAGAAGAATTCGCGGGGGGCGGGGCGGGGAACCGAACTTTTTCGGCCCAAGCCTAGATTTTTTATATAAATAGCGGAAGTGCTTTTAAATTGTTTATAGCTATTCTTAGACATAAAAACTTTACAAAATTTCATTAAAAAATTTAATTTTAGGTCGAAAAATCAATTTTTTTGGCCCAAAATGACCCAAATTTCCACTTTTTCAAGCGTTCTTCTAGCTTTTTAAAAGTTTTTCCACTTAAAATAGGCCTAAATTTTGTTAAAAACAATGTGAAAATACTTTATATTTGATTACTATCCTTACCAGGGCCGACAGGAAAAAAATTAGTTCCCCCCACGCCGCGAATCCCCCCCGGAATACACAAGAACCCGAAATTCCATAATGTCGAAAATCATAATGTCCAAACCATTGTCCAAATTTCCATAAGAAAACCCGCAAACCCCCCGAATTCTAGACAAAAAAATGCCGATATTACGAAATTTCGACATTCCAATGTCGATATTACGAAATTTCGACATTATGTAATTCGAAATCGACAAAATGAAAAAATCTTGAGTGTCTCCCTGAGGCGCTATTTCGCGAGTGCTGACCCCTAATGCTTCATCAAAAAACCGGCTAATTAGGGTTTAGTGCAACACCTGTTTCTCTTCTTCTGGTTCGGCCATCACCATCACCGACGTGTAGATCTTGACTGTCTTGTCGTAAAGCGTCTTCCACCACGCCGCGGGCTTCAACTCAAGCTCGCACCAGTAAGGCTTCTAAAAAGATCGTATTATAAAAATGGTTGATTGATACCTCGTTAAATGCGGCTAGAATGGCCTCGTCGCTCCATTGCTCGTAAAGACCGCGCATCATCGTCATCATCAGCATTTCGTGGTGGTCGGATGGTATTTGGACCTTAAAGACCAACATATTTTCAACACGAAAAATGTCTTCTAAAAAGTTTTGTAGCCTAAAAACCATTTTTGAAAACTAGGCAGCACATAGGATAACGGGGGGGGAAACAAATTTTCGGCATTTTGAATATTTTCGATATTTTGAAAATGCCATCCGATAGGGGCCGAAAAATATACTAAGAGTTTTTATTACAGCGCGAAAAAGCATATTCAAAAATACTTTTATCTTAAAAAAGTTTGAGTGCCCCCCCGTTATCCCCCCCGTTATCCCATGTGTACCATAAAAACTGTTCGGGTACCTTGGAATAGTGATCGAAGAGGCACTGATCGATGGCTTTTCTGATGTTCTCATCGGACGGGCACACTAACGTTTCCAGCCTAATTACACATGTCACCAAGTTTTTTTGTGCCTACGCTTTTATTGCCGCGTCGGTGGGTAGATCCAGACATGAAATCGAGATCGTGAATCGAGCAGGCAACTAAGGGTCTCATTTTATCGATAAAACAGTGCCTATTACCGATAGGAACGAAATCTTGCTGCTGTCGGTGTTGAGATCTGCGAATAAATGTATAAAGAGTGGACAAAAAAAGATCCGAGTTTGGGGTTCTTGTGTATTCCCGGGGGGGGGGGGAACCAACTTTTTTTTGTCGGCCCTGGTGGGGATAGTACCCAAATATAAAGTGTTTTCACATTGTTTTTAGAAAAATTTAAGCCTGTTTGAATCGGAAAACTTTTTAAAAAGTTGGAAAAGGGATGCTTAACGCTTGGAAAAGTCGAAAATTTGGTAGTTTTTGGGCCGAAAAATTGATTTTTCGACCTAAAACCAAATTTTTTAATAAAATTTTGTAAGGTTTGTATGCTTAGAAGTTGCTATAAGCAATCTAGAAGCACTTCCGCTATTTATATAAAAAATCTAGGCTTGGGCCTAAAAAAAGTTCGGACCCCCCGGGAATACACAAGAACCGAGTTTGGGTTAAAAGATCTCGCTAGGGGAAACGCATCGAACAATTTATCTTGTTAGATTTCTTACATATACTGAGTATGAACACAGGTATTACATAACACAAGTTTTTTGTATGATTTATGATTTTTGAACATTTTCAAAAAGTAGAATACTTTGAAGCGATAAAATATGGTGTGTGCTGCGGTGTGTTAGTGCCAAAAATTTTTGCTCGGGAACTTCTTTTTCTTCGCAGCGCCCGAATGTTCCGAACGCTCCTATTGACGGCTAGTTAAACCTGCCCCCATTAAGCTATGGAAATAGCCGTATTTTATTGCTTCCAAAGTTTTTTTTTTGAAAAAATGTTCGAAAATTCTTAACGAATAAACGAGCTCGGCAAAAATCAAACTCCGAACAACTTGTGTTATTTTGTTCATATCCAGTATATTTAAGCAATCTGGCAAGGTAACCATGGGCCGATTCGTTTCCGTTCTCGAGATATCTGGCTGCAAACCTCACTCTTTTTTTTGGGCCTCGGAGACGTTTGTGAGCGCCGTCCGGAATTTGCGATGATCCCAAGCCTAGCTTTTGCAGAATTTTGCGCTGATTCCGAGTAGAGTTACGGTTTTTGCGGAACACCCATTTCCCGAAAGTTATGGGTGATCGAAGGCGGCAAAAACGCGAAATCAGCCACTTTTAATGGACATAAAAAGCTGCGGAATAGGTTTTAGCAAAAAAGTAGCTAGTGCATCTTATCCAGAAAAAATGTTTCTATACAACAAGCTACTTCACATAAAAATTCAAAATTAGGAAATTTTGTTAAAATTAGGAGCAACAAAAATAAAATTTTTGAAATTTTCAAAAATTGTTATTAAAATAGCACATTTTATAGAGAATTGTTTTTGAACAAGGTGCACTAACTGTCTTTTTAAAAAACTTATTTTGGGGGCTTTTATGTCGGTCGAAAGTAGCTGATTTGTGGGGGTTTTTAGGTTTAAATCGTTTAAGACTTTCGAGAAATGGTTATTCCGCAGAAAACGGTAACCAGATTCGGAATCAGCGCAAAATTCTGCACAAGATAGGCTGGGTCTCGTCCCGAAGTCCGGACGACACCCAAAAACGCCTCCCTGTTAGTACCTTGTGTCAGTTGGAGCACGCTGGCCTTGCACAAGATTTCGATGGCATGCCGCAGGAGATGGTCACCGTCTCTGCGTGATTGCCTAAATCAAAGTTTTTTAACGAATTGGATATTGAATGTACCATGTTCGGGACACGACCGTGTCGCTGACCTCGGCCACTCGGATAGTAATTTTTTTGAACAGGCCCTGGTTGGGCTCGGCCTCGTTGTTGAAATTCGGCAAGATTGGACCAATGGCGGGTAATTTGTTGTTGGTGAAGCGGCGCAATGTCTGAAAGCGCTAGCATTTGGCAGATTTTTCGGCACAACGGGGCAGGGGGCACTTATTATTATAAAAATTGCCAATTTGTGGTATCTCTCGAGTACCGTTCGATAAAGCGTCGAAAAATATACAAAGAAAATTAATTTCGGCCCGAAATAATGTAATGGAAATTTTTTATCGAATAAACAAAAATAGATGAAAATTCATGGGCAGTCTTATCCCCCCCCCCCGTTATTCCCTCTGTTATTTCTAACACCATTATCCCCCCCCGTCATTCCCCCCGTTATTTCTTCCCCCCCCCGTTATTTCTCCCCGGCCCCCCCCGTTATTTCTCCCCCCGTTATTTCTCCCCCGCTCCGTTATTCGCCCCCCCGTTATTTCCAGCCCCTTTTCTACCCTTCAGGAGTAATATTGACTACCTCTTCCACTTCAGTCTCCACTCGTTGATGTTCATAGCTTCCGACGAACATTAGGGTCATATTTGATGGAAAGTAGTGGCTGTGATGGAGATCGGTCAGCTGAATACCCATTGAGCACCAGCTCAAAGAAAGGACTAACTTCTTTTCCTATGTCCCGCTCATGGAAGGCCTTGGCGAGGTCGTTTGGCTCCCCGGAAGGGTCGCCGGAGAAGTTGAAATTCCGGCCGAATAGAACTTTTGCAGCGGCCCTTAAAGGAGATGTTTTTGAGTGTTGTCCGGACCAAGCCTAACTTGCGCAGAATTTTCGCCTGATTCCGGGTATCGTTACCGTTTTGGCGGAATAGCCATTTTTCGAAAGTTATAAACGATTCAAGCGAAAAAACGTCACAAATCCAACTTTCGAAACTTTAGAAAAAAACCAATTCGTGCATTTTATTCAGCAGAAAATCGATATAAAAACTACCATTTTTAACAAGTTTTTTAAAAATTTGAAAATGGTTTTTGTTTGATACCCATAAACTGCCGAAATTTTTGAGTGCGAAAACAAATTTGTTTTGTTAAATTCAATCAAAATTAATTAATTTAAGTTAATTCATTGTTAACTCAATTAAATTTTATTTTTAAATTTATTTTTTAAAATAAACTTTTTTTTGACCGGGTTCACAAAATTAATTAAATTTTTTTTGTCGATCAAAAAAAGCAAATTTTTTTAACATTTCGACGTCAAAATCTTGTACACTTTAGCCGAAGAATCAGGCAAAATGAAACGTACACGTCATTCCTCAATGTGCCCCCTGTCCTGCGAATCTCTTCGAGCTCGCTGAAGAGCACACCGAGCGGATCTCCATTTGGGGTGAGGGCATACAGTTCGGTGCGCAAGTCGGCCTCGGTGAAGACGGGCGGCATGAGCACTTGCGATAACCAAAGATCCAATACGGCGACAATGCCCTCCTCGTGCGTCTATTCTCAATTTTATCAGCACGATTTGGGGGGGGAACATACACCGTAGAGCTGATAGGTGACGCTCCCGTGGATGCTTGTCGTCCCCTGGTTGTGGATCTCGCATCTGAAGAAATTTGCAGGAATGAGTGCCTCAAGTCTAGGGCTTATTTTCAAAATGTGTCGAAATGTCGTAATTTCGAAATTTGATAATGTCGAAATTTGATAAGGTCGAAATTTCATAATGTCGAAATTGCAAAATGTCATAATGTCGAAATTTGATAATGCCGAAATTTCCAAATGTCGAAATTTCAAAATGTCATAATGTCGAAATTTGATAACGTCCAAATTTAAATAAGCTAGTATTTCCGGTAAAACCCCCCAAAATCCAAGGCAAAAAATTTGGCTCCCTAGAATAAGGCTACAGTACATTTGACTCGGAAAAACAGCGAAAAATGATAATATTTTAGTTTAAAGTCGTACATTTGAGCCCGCGACTTAATCTTTTCGCATGTTTCACAGCTTTTCGACTTCGAAATTTTGTAAAAAATCTTCTAGCAAGTTTTTTCGCCAGTAAACAACTTTCTGATAGTAATTCGACCATGGCAAACCTTTTGAGCTACTTCACGCATTAATAGGACGTCTCAAGGAAAAGTCGGGGGTTTACCTGGACTCTTACGGGAACAGGTTTATTATTTTACCTAGCCAGTGCATGGTCCAAAAACTCGCTGCTGCCCTTGCCATCCGGATGACTCGAACGCAAGACCTTCATGTGCTCGAGCATGTGGTGGTGCCCTTCGGAAGTGTCGCATGAAGCGCCTGCAAAAACACTTTTGCAAATAGTTAATTAAAATATTCTTATGAATTTAATTAAAAGTTATATTCGTTTTCAATTTAAGCTTGATTACGCGTTTATAATACGATTTAATACTTTTGTAATCTGATTTAACTTTCATTTAATTCTAATTAAATTTAATACTTTTGTAAATTGACTTAAAATATTCTTATACAAAAATATATAGAAAAGCATAATTTTTTAAATAACAAAAGTAATTATTGAAGTACAATAATTTGTTGAAAAATTTTGGTTTTAACCAGGAATCAACAGCCCAAAAACCTACCGAAAAGGACGGTTAGTGACGGTGGCTGATCTTGGGCCGGGCAGAACACGATGCGGGTACCCGACTTCGTGCGATAGATGGCTGCCTAACAAGGAGACGTTTTTTAGTGACATCCCAGTTTTGAGCATGACCAATCCTATCTTGTGCCGAATTTTGCGCTGATTCCGAGCCTGTTTCCCAAATGTGCTTAACCGGCATTTTGAAGAAGTTACAGCGTATTTTAAGGCGAAAATGCTCAAAATCGCAAAGTTTAGACTCATAGCAAAATCCTTGAGAAAATATTTCGGAGAAAGGTATTCGGCGCATCTTACACAGAAAAAGATGCTCTTTCGGACTAAAATATCGAATAAGCAAGTCTGGAAAACAGGCTCGGAATCAGGGCAAAATTCTGCACGAGATAGGCTTGGTCATGCTCAAAACTGGAACCCAAAAACGTGCGCTCGTTTCACACCTTGTTGTTGGGTGGCTTGTCCCGCGGATCCTTTGGCTGATCGGTGTGGGATTTTTTGAGCTGGGCGCTTTTCCCTTTGCTGGCTCTTTTTTCTAAAGCAATGCACACTCATGGTCCTTTGGCATTATCGGGGGGGGGGGGGGGAGTACAGGGGGGGCTCCAATTTTTCAAATATGAACAGCTGAACTGACTAAACAGATTTTTACTTTTCATAAGCGTCAAAACTCTAAAAATTTGACCAAAAATCTAGACAAAATACAAAATAAATAAATACAAAATGAATACATAAATAAAGAAAAACTACAAAAATTCCCAAAATTTCGACTTTTCAGTAAATTTTGAAAGTTTTTAGACAGTTTTTCCAACGGCAATAGTCTTTGATTTTACCAACAATTATGGCAGTTCTACAGGGTGTCCCAAAAAAAAGTGCCCAAGTTTGTCCCCGAATAACTCGAGAAGGAAACATATTTCACCGTGCGTTACCATGCCAGAATGCTTAAATATGTCAGGAATAGGGAAATAACTCAACTTGATTTTTTTTCGATTTTTGAGTACGCAACTGTACTATTGACGCTGATTACGACCGAAAATTGTGCGTTCTTGAACGGGTGGTGGGAAAATTCTGATTTTTGGCCCAAAAGTCGTTGGCATTTGTAGAAAGCTAATGGCCAAATATTAGAATTTTTGAAGCTCCAGTTCTTTTTTTACAAGCAAAACAAATTTCACTGTTTTGTATCTTTTTACATTTTAATTGGCAACTCGCTTCAAATACGCTGCCCATGGCTGATCTTTTGCAGATGGTGTCTCCGAATGATAATCTTTAGCACAACACCAAATTTTACCTGATTCTATGGTATTTTAATATTGCCTGCTAAAACGTGCCCCAGAGGGATACTGTAGCTTTTGTTTTTCGCGTTTTTCTTTTTATTGTAAGCTGCGATTTCGCTCAAAATTTTACCATCGGTAAACAATGGTAAGGGGCAGCCATGGGCAAAATATAGCAAATTTCTAGCCACACATTTTCGAAAAATATACAAAAAGCTGATTTTTTAATTTAGCCACGGCAATTTCTAAATATTTTAATGAATCGGTCCGAAAACTACTATTATTTGTTTTCCTGAAAGATCGAAACGTTTCTATGGTGAAAAGAACGAGAAAACGGCGATTTTCTGTTTTCTACAGTAACCCGCCTGGAGCGCGTTTTAGCATGCCAAGACAAAATTCCATAAAGTGACGGTTTTTCGATTCTAGAATGTTCTTTGTGTGATTGTAAGAGCACCTACAAAAAATTACTTGATTCCTGTGGCAAATGACAAAGTTATAAGGGAAAGAGGAAAACCCCCCCTCGGACCCCGATTTTGGACCCGGCGCCCTGGCTCGCAAATCGAATTTTTGAAAATGAAAAAGGCACCGGGGTTTGGTGGATACAATTAAAGCACGCATCGAACTGTGCATGAGAGCGAAATTCTGCAATGATCTGGATGAAGTTAATGGTTAATTTTGATTTAAAACCCGAAAATAACGTTTTTTGAAAAGCCGACTTTGGGGAGCTCTTCCGAATTCGTTTGCCATGAAAAGGGTTTGTATTTGCATGCATTCTAGTTGATTACCCAGGCTTCGTCTATGCCAGAAAAATCGGGGATACTAGAGCTTCGAGAATTTTTTTACGTCGCCTCGAATTCGGGTATATTTGGACACTTCATGAATTTCTTTGGAGAGATCGGATGGCTAAATAAATTTGTAAATATAATCATAGAATGCGCCCATTAAGTAGTATTAAATAAAATTATGACAACAATTCCAGCCTCTCAACTGAATTTTATAAACTGGCATGAAAGTCTGCGAAATAGCACGAGCCAACCGTTTTGGAGACGCTAAAAGGCAACCTTCCAAAGGGGTACGGTAGCTAGAAATTGTGTACGAGATAGATGGACGCCAGTCCTACACAACGAAGCAAAGCAAACACCGAAATTCTATCTGCAATTTTAGAAATATTCTTCCAAAGTTGAGTTTCGGGACCTCGAAAGAACCCATCTTCGTCCGTCGTCGAAAAACTCAAAAATCCGCGGATCTGAAAATTTTTTTTGATATTTTTGCGGGATTGTATCGAGCCTATAGACATGCTAAAACAGCTTATTTTGAGGTTTCCACCATAGGTTTTTGTAATATTCGAAATTTACGAAATTTCTCCATATTAAATTTGATTTCACGCTATAACTTGCCAACCTGACCTTCAAAAATTCTAAAATTGCGGATGTGCGTAGGGGCGATCCTGAGGTACCTACACTGTAAAAATTGGAAGTGTTCGACCACCAGCAATCCAAAAAAATGCAAACGAAGTTTTGCCGGAACGCACAGTTTTCGGGTGTCATTTGTATGGGTACGTCGCCAAAAATCGAAAAAATCAAGTTGAGTTATTTCCCTATTCCTGACATATTTAATTAAGCATTCTGGCATGGTAACGCACGGTGAAATATGTTTCCGTCTCGAGTTATTTGGGGACAAACTTGGGCACTTTTTTTTGGGACACCCTGTAGACTTCCACAAAAAAATCTTGTTCTCACCGACCCGAAAGATTCACCCCCCCCCCCCGCGATGATGCGAAAAAACCAAACCGAAAGGTAACTTGTAGGGCTGTTAGGCCAGTTAGTGGCGGTTACCTTGCTTTCGACGGCGCACAGCTGTTGAAGGAGAGCGCTGGATGGCACGGGAGCGGCTCGTCGACTTGGTCGCAGCCCGATCCCTCGGAGGGACGCCACCGGGACGCTGGATCGATGTTCTTGGAGTGTTTGGCTGCGTATTGCGCGATCGATTAGAGGCTCGGTATTCTTAATCAGAACATATATTGGGGCACGGGCAAGAGTCACGAAACCTGGAAGATCGGGGCGACATCCGGTGACCAATGCCCATAGGATGCGCTCCCTCCAATGCGGCATGTCTTCCATCGTCGCCCTCGGCTCGACGCCGCCCACAATCGCGTCGGCATAGACGCACACCCAGACGCCGCAGCTGGATCCGTCGCTTTGATCGGCAATCTAAATATCATTTTTCAGTCGATATAAAAATCACGTAATTTCGAGAATAGATTCTGATTAAATTAAAATTCGCAAGCCAAGCCTAAGCCAAGCCTAAGCCAAGCCTAAGCCAAGCCTAAGCCAAGCCTAAGCCAAGCCTAAGCCAAGCCCAAGCCAAGCCCAAGCCAAGCCTAAGCCAAGCCTAAGCCAAGCCTAAGCCAAGCCTAAGCCAAGCCTAAGCCAAGCCTAAGCCAAGCCTAAGCCAAGCCTAAGCCAAGCCTAAGCCAAGCCTAAGCCAAGCCTAAGCCAAGCCTAAGCCAAGCCTAAGCCAAGCCTAAGCCGCCCAAGCCAAGCCTAAGCTCAGGCCTAAGCCAAGCCCCAAGCCAAGCCTAAGCCAAGCCTGCCGCCCAAGCCAAGCCCAAATGGCCTAGGCTGCCTAAGCCAAGCCAAAGCCAAGCCTAAGCCAAGCCTAAGCCAAGCCTAAGCCAAGCCTAAGCCAAGCCTAAGCCAAGCCTAAGCCGGCCTGCCAAGCCAGCCGCCTAGGCCAAGCCTAAGCCAGCGCCTAAGCCAAGCCTAAGCCAAGCCTCCAAGCCTAAGCCCAAGCCAAGCCTAAGCCAGCTTCCAAGCCAAGCCTAAGCCAAGCCTAAGCCAAGCCTAAGCCAAGCCTGCCTAAGCCAAGCCTAAGCCGCTGCCTAAGCCAAGCCTAAGCCAAGCCTAAGCCAAGCCTAAGCCAAGCCTAAGCCAAGCCCAAGCCGCTTCCAAGCCAAGCCTAAGCCAAGCCTAAGCCAAGCCTAAGCCAAGCCTAAGCCAAGCCCAAGCCCAGCCAGCCTAAGCCAAGCCTAAGCCCAGCCTAAGCCCAAGCCTAAGCCAAGCCTAAGCCAAGCCTAAGCCAAGCCTAAGCCAAGCCTAAGCCAAGCCTAAGCCCAGCCTAAGCCCAGCCTAAGCCAAGCCTAAGCCAAGCCTAAGCCAAGCCTAAGCCAAGCCTAAGCCAAGCCTAAGCCAAGCCTAAGCCCAGCCTAAGCCAAGCCTAAGCCAAGCCTAAGCCAAGCCTAAGCCAAGCCTAAGCCAAGCCTAAGCCAAGCCTAAGCCCAGCCTAAGCCAAGCCTAAGCCCAGCCTAAGCCAAGCCTAAGCCAAGTCCACTCACGGACCAAATGCGCCTCACCCATCTTCAATTGTCACGATAACATATTTGGTATTTGCTAACCTTTCGGTAGTTGAGGCGCCACTTCTTCTGAGGCCACAACTCCTCCAATCGACGTTCAGCCGTCTCAAACCGCTTCAAATAGACAGCGGCATCAGATTCGTTGAAAAGGGAGTCCCAATGAAGCACGTCGCCTGAGGAGGGCTGCACGACGTAGAGCCACCAGTGCCCGTTATCACAGATTGGCCAAAGCCAAGTGGCGTTGATGTCGTCGATATTCGTAACCGGGTAGCTAGAATCGAAAGGTGTGAGAAATTGAAGCGATCTAGTAAGGAAACGACATCGAAGGTTTCGTAAAAAAAATTACTTTTTGGGGTCATGCCAAAAGTTGGACGGTATGCGACGGAAGAGAATGTTCTGTTGGCTTCTCATAATCACCTCCAAAAAAGCGTCGACCGCATCGTCGTACAGCTGGGAATTTCCTGAAAACTAAGCGCTAAAGATATAAATAAAATAAAATATAAATTGGGTTTGCTACCATAATGTCGAAACTGAGATGGTCAAAATTCAGAATATCGAAATTCATCGTCAAAATTCAGAATATCGAAATTCATCGTCAAAATTCAGAATATCGAAATTCATCGTCAAAATTCAGAATATCGAAATTCATCGTCAAAATTCAGAATATCGAAATTCATCGTCAAAATTCAGAATATCGAAATTCATCGTCAAAATTCAGAATATCGAAATTCATCGTCAAAATTCAGAATATCGAAATTCATCGTCAAAATTCAGAATATCGAAATTCATCGTCAAAATTCAGAATATCGAAATTCATCGTCAAAATTCAGAATATCGAAATTCATCGTCAAAATTCAGAATATCGAAATTCATCGTCAAAATTCAGAATATCGAAATTCATCGTCAAAATTCAGAATATCGAAATTCATCGTCAAAATTCAGAATATCGAAATTCATCGTCAAAATTCAGAATATCGAAATTCATCGTCAAAATTCAGAATATCGAAATTCATCGTCAAAATTCAGAATATCGAAATTCATCGTCAAAATTCAGAATATCGAAATTCCGAATGTCGAAATTTTTTGCAGCGGATACGGGATTTTGTCGGTAAAGTTAGCCTATGTAAATTTCGACACAATGAATTTCGACGGCGATTTTCGCTATTATGAAATTTCGCCATTTTGAACGCCGCCCTACTATAACTACTAACTACAGCCGGCTACGATCTTCCTTCAACTCGACTCCCCCCCCGCCCCCCGCCCCTATAAGGTTTCGTTAGTATACCATCCAGCTCCCTCCAATCGTACTCCTCGATGAAGTCGACGGTCGCAGCTCGATCATTGTATTGCGGTAGCGCTTCGAGAAGTCGCGCCCATCGATCGTCCCTTCCTGAATAAGTTGTACAGCGGCTGCCAAATTTGGCGGGTTCAAAAACGGATAAATCAAAAAGTACAAATACGGTCGGCGAAATCAAGGAAAATCCCTTTAACTGACCTTTGCCATAATTCTCTGCCTTCCATAACATGTCCTTCATCACGGTGATGCCCGGCAAAATGGCCTCCTCCGATCTCTGCGCATCAAACCCCTTAAAAAAGTTGGTTAAAATTGTTTTAAATTTAAAATTAAATCTTTTATGAAAAATTGGTAAAGGTTGCTTAACGGGGGAGAAATAACGGGGGGGGTGGAAACCATTTTTCCTATAGGGACCTGTCGTGCCAATTTAAGCCTGCCATCGGATAGAGCGTCGAAAAATATACTAAAACAATTAATTTCAGCCCGGAATACCACTATTTAAAATTATTACTGATTAAGCGCAAAAGTTTAATCAATTAAAAATCGTTAAAAATGCTTTTTTTGGACTAAAATTCAATCTTGGAGTATAATTTTCGGCGCTCTATCCGATGGCGTTTTCAAAATAGCAGGATATTCTTTCAAAATACAAAAGTGCTTTCCATCCGCGTTATTTGCCCCCCCCCGTTAAGCAACCTTTACCCAAAATATCTAATTTTTTAAATTTAATTAACACAGGAGTTTTTAAACCGTTTTTATCATTCTTAAACGTCAAAAATTTAGTGTTAGAATTTATCAGTTTTTATTAAAAAAATACAAAAATATCGATGTTTCGACCCAGATGGCCGTTTTTGACCAAAATTTAGAATTTTGTGACTAACCTGTTTTAATGTTTTTCGATATTTTTCTAGTTAAAATATAATGTTATTTATTGAAAACACCGTTAAAACACTTCCTTTTAAGTGGCTAGCCATGTGTAGAGTTATACAAAAAAATCTCGACCCCCGATAATGCAAAAGTACCGCGATTGTCAATTCTATGGTTATTCTGTACCGAGAGTACCTTGACGTGTTGCTCCACACGAGCCTGCTGCAGCCCGTCTCGCCCGGCACGCTCCTTCTTCGACGGCTTGCTCGGCGCGTCATTAGATTTGTGCTCGTTCTCGAGCTCGCTCTTGAGCTTCTTCACCTTCCTGGAAAACATTTTGGTAGTTTTTATAATGAAAATTTTTAAAAATATGTTTGTTTCGGTCCCTAAAAAAGCTCTTACAATGGAAATAAAGTCTCGGTCGATTTCAAAACGGGACTTAGCACAGCTTACGCGGAATTTTTTGCTGTTTCCGACTCTGTTTTCAAAAACTGCAAAATAGCCTGGATTTGAAAGTTATAACCTTTTACAGCCTATTTTAAGCAAAATTGCCAAAGTTCATGCTCGATTATTTCGATCTTCCTGATTGATTTGCTAGAAAAAGGATCTCGCCATCTTATTCAGAATTTTTTTCTCTATCGAATAAGTTCCAAAAATCGCAAAAAGCGACGATGGGTAGCCTGCCATTTTTGTATGGGACTTGGCGAAAAATTGCGTATTTCACGCGCTGGTAAACAGCACCTATGTTTCAATGAAACATCCCATTCGAATCAGAAAAAATTCGCTATCAGCTAGGCTCTTTGTCATAAATTAGAACAGAACAGTAACACAAAAAATCGTGCCCAATCACTTCCCGGGGTCCAAAAACCGCTCTTAAGGGCTTCATAACTTTTAAGTCCGAGCTGTTTTGCAGTTGTTCAAAACAAAAATCAGCGAAAAATACTGCACAAGATAGGCAGGGTCTCATATCGAAATCCCACCGAGATTTTAGAAGGGGCTCTTTTTAGTATATTTTTCAGCCCCCTATCGGGAACATATAGCATCGCCGGGGGGGCACTCGTTATTCTAACAACTGTCAATTATTGTGGTATTTCGCAAGTGCCATTCGATAGAGCGTCCAAAAATTTGCTAGAAGAATTAATTTCTGCCCGAAATAATGTAGTGAAAATTTTTATCGAAGAAACAAAAATCGATCAAAATCTATGGGCAGCAAATAGGAAAGGGGGGGGGGCACTGAAATATTTTTGTAATAAAAATAGCTTTAAATAAACTCGGTACGTCGCTATTAGGAAATCTAGATAATTTTTAGAGTATTTTACATAGTTTTTAACTATAAAAACATCGTAAAAAATGTCAGAAACGTATGAAAAATGGCGAAAGGTTCGAAAGTTCGACTTTTCCAAAAATTTGAAAGTGGTTGAATTTGGACCAAGTACACAATCTTTTTTCTGGTTCTTTCGCTTTATCGGGGGGGGGGGGCAGAGGGGCGAAAACGAAGCGCACGTGGTTTCCAAGTGTAGGAATCGTAAAAAATAGCATGGAGATGTCTCCAACATTTACATTGCGGAAAACTAGACCTAGAAAAAAGTTTAAAACAACAAAAAAGAAACCATTTTTGAGTTTTTTGGTCCGTGAATGCGTATTGAAAAAAAAAATATTAAAGTAAACACCGTATACCAGGCAGCAAAAAAAGCATGATTTTTTCAATAAAACATCAGAAAAGGAAACAAACTTGTTGGGCATTCTCTCGCTCGTTTCGATGTTGCGGAAATTAGCGTACCGGGTTCTTGTATGTCAAACGACACTGAAAAATTTTTGTTAAAGGGACGGTGAGAGCCACGTTTACCCCCCCCCCCCCACGCCTGGCGCAAACTTTCCGCCTACTTCCTATTAATGCGTGGAGTATCTTAAAAGTCGAGAATGAATTACGGTTCTTGTGCATTCACGGGGGGGGGGGGGAACCAACTTTTTCCCGTCGGCCCTGGTGGGGATAGTAACCAAATATAAAGTGTTTTCACATTTAGCAAAATTTAAGCCTATTTGAATCGGAAAAACTTTTTAAAAAGCTAGAAAAACGCTTGAAAAAGTCGAAAATTTGGGTATTTTTGGGCCGAAAAAATAGATTTTTTGGACCTAAAATTAAAATTTTAATTAAATTTTGTAAAGCTTTTATGCTTAGGTATAGCTATAAACAATTTAGAAAGATTTTCGCTATTTATATAACAAAAAAGTTCGGTTCCCCGCCCCCCGCGAATTCTCCCCCCCCCCCCCGGAAATACACAAGTGCCCGAATTACTATAAAAAGTTGTTTCCTGACGCCAAAGATTGCTCAAAAATTTTTTACATGATTTGAAACGTGTGAAAAGATTTAGTCGCATGCCTCAATGCACTACCACGGTTTTCAAACACAATTATTTTATTTTTTCGCTACTTAATCGATTTAAATGTACTGTAGCCCTATTTTACGGAGCAAGAACTACATTTTGGTACCACTGACAGCTCTGTTGGATCAACCGTAGCCGCGATACGAAAACTCACTTTGGACCAGCAAAAATTAACTAACGGAAATAAAAATAATTTTGCTAATTGTAATCAGAAATTTCCTAACAATTTTTGGCGTCAGGAAACAACTTCTTTAGAGTAATTCGAAAACAGAGGACATTTTGAGATACTCCACGCATTAATAGGAGGCATGGCTGCAAAGTTGGGGCTGGGGGGGGTAAACAGCCAAAACAAAGAAAAATGAAAACATGAATGAATATGGGGGGGTCCAACCTTCTGAAGCTCGTAGTATGAGCAGGAGCTATTTTAGCGCCTTGGTGTCATAATTTAAATGTTTTTAGATTCTAAATCTTGCTAGTGAACCTTCTAAAGGTGCTGTATCATGACGCTATCATGAGAACGAGGCGATACAAGTTTCGTGTTTAGCCGCATCCCGAATATGGGGGGTCCAACCTTCTGAAGCTCGGAGCATGAGCAGGAGCTATTTTAACGCCTCGATGTCATGATTTAGATGTTTTTAGATTCTAAATCTTGCTAGGGAACCTTTTAAAGGTGCTGTATCATGAAGCTATCATGAGAACGAGGCAATACAAGTTTCGTGTTTAGCCGCTAGGTGAATATGGGCGGGGGTCCAACCTTCTGAAGCTCGGAGCATGAGCAGGAGCTATTTTAACGCCTCGATGTCATGATTCACATGTTTTTAGATTCTAAATCTTGCTACAGATCCTTCTAAAGGTGCTGTATCATGAAGCTATCATGAGAACGAGGTGATACAAGTTCGTCGGATATTCCAGCTTCCACCTCCTCGTCGAGCGACGATGACGCAACTGCGCCAACCACCGTCGCCGGCCGGTGGCGGATGATCGAGGCGAGGTAGGAGACCTGAATTTGCCTTTAAAACTTGCTTCTAGACTCGAATTACGATCTAAACTTGCCTTCAATAGTCCTTTAAAACAATTACGCCATGCAAATTTGCCGTCAGTAGACCTTTAAACCCCTCATTCCAGTTCCCCGACTCCCTCCAAACGCTCCTCACCCGCCTCGACGACCTCCCCGACAGCTGCGTCGCCGAGTTGGCCATTCGGAGTGCGAGAGTTGCGCCCAGACACTCCCCAGCCTCCTCGCCCTCAAGCAACACCAAGAAGAAGCCCACGACGATCAGCTAAGCCCCGCCCACCTCGAAGCGCTCACCCAACGGCTAGCAAAGACCATTGAGGAATCATCGGTGGAGGTGTCGAATCCAGGGTCGAATGAGAGTAGAAGCTCTTCGAGGGATGATACGATGGAACCGCCGGAGAAGGTATGCAAGCGGAGAAGCTGCGCCTAAGCCTAAGCTAAGCCTATGCCAATCCTAAGCCAAGCCTACGCTTAAGCTAAGTCTATGCTAAGCCTAGGCTTAACCCAAGCCTAAGCCTATGCCAAGGCTAAGCCTACGCCAAAGCCTAAGCTAATCTTTTACTACGATTTAATAACCTCATTTTTCAGAAATCCCGGAACGAAAACGACGCTTCTGCCGGTGACGCCACCGCCCAGATGATGCTCAACATGATGCAGGCCGGCTTCCCCTTCCTGCAGCCGAACCCCTTCCTGCCGATGGACGGCTTCTTCAACCCGCTACTGGCGCAGCAGGTTGGGCTTGGAATTTCGGGTTTTGAAGCCGGCTTGGCCTGGGCTTAGGCTTAGGCTTTGGTTTAGGCTTAGCTTGGGCTTAAGTTTAGGCTTCGGGTTAGGCTTAGGCCATGCTTAGGTTTAGGCTTAGGCTTAGCTACTCTATTCACTGGATTATGTTGATATTTATCTTTCCAGATGGTAGCCCTTCAAGCAGCTGCTTCTCCTGCAAAACGAGCTCGCACAAGAATCACCGACGATCAGCTGAAGGTTCTCCGCCAATATTTCGATATCAACAACAGCCCCACCGAGGCCCAGATCCGGGAGATGAGCCTGAAGACGCAGCTGCCGGAGAAGGTTATCAAGCACTGGTGGTCATCAAGCTGATGCTCATATCCTAAAAGCACGAAAGAGAGAGACACACACACAGAGGGTCGGGGGCTAATAAGGATGGGTCAATTTTCGGAGGCACTGCCCTCATAGAAGGAAAGGGGTACGGTAAGCGGAGCTTGTAACAGCAAGAGTTGGCGATAGATAGACCGACAGAGGGCGAGAGAAAGACTATCTGCACTGCCCCTTGCCTTGCCCTCTTGCCCCTACCTGAACCGCCGGTACTTTCAAGGTATTGGTAGCGGTTACTGAGACTAGGGCAAAGGGACAGTGTGGAGTAACTGATGCCTCTCGATGTCCGGTCACTCCACGTCAGCTGTCCGATTTCATGTGATTCCGCCTATTTGCATCTCGCCTACTGCTATTTCGCCTACATCCCACTCCGCCTACACTTTATCTCGCCTACATCTTATTTCGCCTACCTCTTATTTAGCCTATTTTGCATATTCCCTGTATTTGCGCATCAAACATTATTACAACTTCAGCATATCAAATATACAGGGTGTCCCAATAAAAAAGGTCACGCTGGTATTTTGCTATTTCAAATCCGACCGACTTGAAATTTTGCACAGAGGTGTGGAAGGGAATTTAAAATGTTCACAGAAACTTTCAGCCCGATCGCTACAAGAGTTTTCGAGTTATTGTAAAAATACTGTTTTTCCCACACTTTAGCTTCATTTTTTCGGCTATCTTTTTGGACTTTGCATCAATTAACATAAATTTCCGGCTCTAAATCCCTTATTCTTCTTAACATCGGCGTCGTTAGCCCTTGTTAAAAAAATACTTAAATAGCCTATTTTCGACCCGAATTTTGCGAAATAAAAAAATTCCTAGGATAAAAAAGGGTCGGCGCTTCATTTTCTCCATACATTCCAGGGCTCAATTCCGGCGAAATCCAGGTGAAAAACGTAAAATAAAGTTTATTTTTGCTATAACTCGAAAACTATTGTACCGATCGGGCTGAAAGTTTCTGTGAACATTTTGAATTCCCTTCCGCACCTCTGTGCAAAATTTCAAGTCGATCGTATTTGAAATAGCAAAATGCCAGCGTGACCTTTTTTATTGGGACACCCTGTAGATCGTTGAATGCTGTTGAGCAAAAACGAACAGCTTTGGAATTGTCAGTGGAAAAGATAAACGCGGCTTGTTTTAGCGCAGTGTTTATCTAAAAGCCAGTCCAGCTTTATTATCATGGAAGATACTATATACCGAAGCTCTACTAACGTTGTATGAGCAAATACAAGTATAGGCGAAATGAAAGGTAGGCGAAATAAGATGTAGGCGAACTAGGATGTAGGCGAAATAAGATGTAGGCGGAATGGGATGTAGGCGAAATAAGAGGAGGCGAAATAGCAGTAGGCGAGATGCAAATGGGCGGAATCAAGTTTTCCCCAGCTGTCCCTACCTGAACCTCCGGTACTTTCAAGCGCTGTACACACATGTTTTGTAAGGGGCATCATTTGCTTTTATTAGGTTAGATTAGATCAAAATTCGAAGGATTTTCATATTTTTGGCACTACGAAAGGCATCGTTTTTCATGACGTTCCACCATCTTATTTTTCTTTTTACAAGCCGCACTTCTGAATTTCGTACCGAATAGAGCATTCACGACAGAAACGGACGTCTCCAAGCAACGCGCCTGGCGTAGTTCCATTGGGCCCACAGTTTCGGGTAATAAATCCGATTCACCAAATATAACGGAGTTCGTGCCATGTCACAAGAACTGGTGTCACACCTGGTGTTTTCGGTTTTAGATTACGCAACATTAATGCAACCGAGAACTGTACATGCTTGATTGAGTGGCGGTGAATCAAAAATTCTACTTTCATTTTTACAAGCACAACAAATCTTGCGGGGGGTCTAACAAGGGAAGGTTGTTTGGTCAGGTGTCAAATCTTTCTGAAAATTGGCCAGTGGATAGGAAATTGAAAACGGAACAATGTGCGCTAAGTCGTTGCTGCACAATACCCCTAATTAAAAAGTTATAAGCATAAGTTAAGTTAGCTATAAGATTTATAAGTTTCAAGTCGATTTGACACCTGACCCAAACAACCTTCCCTTGTAAGCGATTGCATTGTCGAAAGGCAAAGAAAACGGGATTTTCTAATTTGCACAATGACCATTGAGTGCGCGTTTCAGCACATCGAAATAGAATAAAATAAACGGCAGCATTGTCAATTAGACTCTCTACGCGGATATGCAGGCGCGCTAGAAAGGAGTCACTTTCGGAAGAAGGAAGATGCGATGTGGAGAGACAGGGACTCACTTTGGAGCATCCGGGTCGGCATATGTAGAAACTATCAAGAGCACCAGGTTTCATGGAAGATTGAGCTTGAATAGCTTTATTCACGTCCGCAGAATTCTGTAGTAATCGCTTTAAGAATGATGCGTCTTTGCCGGCAAAATCGGCAATTACCGTGTTCCATAATCGGGGGTTGGGAAAGTTTTAAAAACGTCTGCTGCCACAAATTCGTCAGGGGGTCCGGTCGATCAATCTTCCAGAAATTTTAGTCGTATACAGAATCTTAAGTTTCCACTTCCGGCATCGGTGATCCAAAAAAAGTAAAGTTTGGGTCAAATTATCTCGTGAACGGGAAGGAATCAGACCATGGTTACCTTGCCAGAATGCTTAAATATGCTGGGCATGAAGAAATAATACACGTTGTTTTATTAAGATTTTTGATCGTTCGGTCGTTCAAAATTTTTGAACATTTTTGAAAAAGTACAAAACTTTGAAGTGATAATGTATGGAACTTTTGATGAGTTAGAGGGACTTCAAGGGTATCAAAATGAAGCTCTTGGAATGCGCTATCAAACCAGTGGTAAAGAATTTGGATCGGTTTAACTAACCGTCAATAGGAGCCCTTGGAAAAACGGACTTTTCAAGAAAGGGCGGACCCAAAACTAAAAGCCGCCTTGGAGGTTGACTAAAAAATCTCTTAAGGGGTTTACCGCAAAAAATAGCGAGACGCATCAATCGGTATAACTTAAAACCTGAACTGAAGAAACCCATCCGTAAACAGCTTTTTGCTAATATTTGCTTAAATTGGGACCTAACGAACGATCTGAAAAGGTTCTAGGGGGGTCTAACTTCAAATTAAACCTATGAAAACTGGAAATTAAAGTTCATTTTTGTTATAACTTTCAAACTACTTTAGCAATGGGGCTAAAAGTCAGGATTGGTGTTATTAAGGGTCTGGTACACCTCTGTTCCAAATTTGGGGCCGATTGGATGTAATACGGCGAAATGCCAGATGGGTCGTTTTTTGGGACACCCTGTATATCCGTAAAACCGCTTTTTTGTGAGATTTTGATAAATTGAAGCTCGAGGTTGTCTAAAAAAGGTTTAAGGGCTTTCATGCACACCACTCAGACCAGAAGAGCGAAGTCCATCGATTGGTGACTTGAAACTTGATCCGCCACCTCCTCATGGCATACCATAGGCCAAAGTCTTGAACTGTATCTCTGGGGTCTTCGAAAACCCGATATCTCTGGAACGTGTTATCCTACTACCAGATGGTTACAGTCGCTTCACGACTGCAACCATCTGGCCTTCGGACTACCCTACATATCCCACTCCACCACATCCTTTCCCACCTCCATCAATACCCCCCCCCCCCATGGCTGAAATCCCCTTCAAAAACTACCTAAATACTTTAACTAATTTAAATAATTAATTAACATAATTAAAAAGTATTAAAAGTATTAAAGTAACTTAAGAAAGCTATCTGGGCGCGCGAAGGGGCCTGGGGAAGATGGGCGAAGGGAAAGGGGGCGTGGCCTCCCGGGAGAGGGGCCCCCCACCCCTTTTACTAAGGAAAAAACTTTTAAAGTTAATTTTAATAATTTAAATTAAAACTTTTTCATAATTTTTTATCAGTTTTGGGGTTTCTGACCACGCTCTATCCGAATCCGAAGAGAGCTAAGCTCTAGCTCCTTTCCCCTTCGAGTTGAATCCGGGACACGACAGACGGACGGACAGACGGAGACCACAGCAAAATTATTATAGTTGATATATAAAAATAATGTTTGTGTGTGTGCATTTGCATGCAACTTCCGTCCGTACGTTCCAGTCGTATTTCAATAGGAGAGGAAGTTAAGGGTACGTATGATACGTCATTAGTTGCGTAATGGTCATGACATGACTGCACGCATATGAAATTTGTAAAAATCCGCTGTCGGAAGACCGCTGTTTTCAGCTAATTTGTCAACGATGCACCTCAAAAATCCCACACAGAAATAAGCTTGTGATCGTGTTCCGGAGTAAAAAGTTCGTCGCGAGTTACGCCCTAAAAATCCCAATCACAGGGTCTGTGAGCATTGAATTCGGAATCTACAAGCTGTTTTACATCTAGTGGTCAACTAAATATCCCACCCCCCCCACCCCGGGAATTTCGAGGAACTTGGTGGCCAACAAGGTCGAAAAACGGAGGCGATGAACTTTCCTCGGTTACTGTGTGTATTATGTCGTAGTTGATCACTCTACTAGAGTGATAAGGGTCCCAGCCTCATTGCTTATATTCTTTTTCTTCGTTCTCTACTAATTCCAGTGGTGCTCTGTGAAGAATGCCGGAACAATCGACAGCGATGTCTGTTTTAGGAGTTTCGCGTCATTAAACGAACATTTTTAGTTGCAGCAAATTCGCACGTCCAAATTCCACTCGTCGACTTGAAGAACATACATAGCGTGCTTCGAACTCTCAGATTCGCATTCGTTTGTTTGTGGCAAATATCTTGTCAGTTGTGTTGATCCTACCTTCTAACATCCGTCATTCGCCAGCCATCATGGTTAGGCCGGTTTCTAAAGAGCGATGTGAGGGCTGTGAGGGCCGTGCAGTTCAGCCCTCGTCTAAAATCCGGAAAGGCTTTGAAAGAACGGAAGCGATAGTGGCTAGGTTTTTATTCTAATTTCGACGGGCCGTTCGTCCCCTTGGAATACGGTGAGTGGAAAAATTAACCAGTTTTGTGCGAACGGCAGGACCCGTCCGTCGTGTTTAAACACAATGTAGTAAAAGCCATGTAACACACATGTAAAAGCCATAATAACTCTGGGGTGAAGTTTTCTTTTCGTTTCTTTTGGTGGCTCCTCGAGGCCTGGCGACTGGACACACTTTTATGGGAAATAGCCGGCATTGCCACATTTTTTTGGCAATTGTCAATTGACATCCTGCTCCGTGGGTGCGTAAGGCCCGTCAAAAAATTAATTTATTTTTCAGCAGAGACTTCCCGTGAATCCGATCAGGATCGCAGCTGACGTGAGTGCGGATCAGCGCTGGCGGCCCCATTCCAGGAAGCTTTTTCAGTGATTTCTCAATTGGCTTTATGTGATAAAGTCGAAGAAAGCCTGTTATTTGAGATTTGTTGCAGCCTGGCCTTTCGGTCTCCCACCTTTCCATCTCTCACATTGCATTTCGACACACACACATTCAACACAGTGTCAGGTACTCACGAGTCGGATTTAAAGATGCTACTCCGGTAGCAGGCTGAGGTTTACGGCTCAGCAAGGGTATTTATGCGCTGTAATGGTCGAGGGGCGTGGCATCGATCGTCTGCGTCTGGTTCGTCTGGGTAGACCCGCGGGGAGCCAGGTAGGGAACTGTCCTGGTTCAGGACGACCATTGCGAGGCGAGAGACGCCCGAGAAAGCGAGAGAGACGAGAGAGAGAGCGAGAGAGAGAGAGAGGGAGAGAGAGATCTAAACAGGTGCTACATAGGTGCTCAATGAATGCTCGAAATTAGAAATATCACACACAATTTTTCCAAAAAAACTGTAACTAGAACATCATAACCCATTAGGCAGAACTGTTGCAACGGCCTCTACATCAATTCACATACCAGAAAATCCAAGACAACTAAAAAGAAAACCTCCTAAAAAGTTCCTTATATTGAACAAAATATTTAACACCAATTATAAAAGAATCGTTCAGGAATACCTAAATAAATCAAAAATTGAATTCAACACCGAATGCAAATCAAATATGATTATATCCCGACCTTAGGCCAATTACTAAATCGCCCTACTAATTACTAAGTAAAGAAATCCCTAAAATTATTAAACGCCTCAATTTTTGGAAAATTTGTATTCGTCAATTTTTAGAAGTTCTAATCAATTCATGGTACTGTTCTGTTTGGCCGGGGGGGGATTCGATGGAAAATTATGGCGAAGGTACACTGATCTTCCTATAGTTTACCAAATTGTTTTAACGCGGTACGACAGAACATCAAAAAATATACTAAGAATTATAATTACAACCCAAAATAATGTAATATAAAAAAGTTAGAGCAAAAACAAAAACCTTTAAAATAAAAGCTAGTTTTCGACAATTTTACTAAATTTCCTTATCGTCTTCGATAGAGCGTCAAAAATACAATACGAGTAGAACTTAAACTCAAAGTAATTGTAAAATAGGTGGGGAAAAGCAAAAATATTTTAGGGCAGATTTTCCCCCGGCCAAATAGAACAGTACCCAATTAATTTAACAACTGCTGTAAAAGTAAGTATTAGAAACCGCTCCTAGACCCAAAAATATACACTAAAGGGTCCTATGTAAAACCCTTATTACCCGGTTGACCGGGTACCGCTCGGCCATTTACCCACTCGACCGGGTTCCCGCTCGGACCCGCTCGATCCATTACCCGTTCGCAACCGGGTACCCGGACCCGGATGCCAGATAACAACTCTACCCTTAATGCGAAAAATAGGGTGCTTTCCTGTTAGCGGGGGCGGTAGTTGTCTGCACAAAGGCCAATAGGCCTACCCCCCCCGAATAACAAGGAAGTACCAAAAAAATTCATGTGCACTAGTACCAATGTGCCTCCAAAACACTCTACTCCTTCTTATACTAGCAAAAAAAATAATACGATCGACTTTTTTACCGATGCCGAATTCGGGTGCTTCCGTTTATCGGGGAGGGCGGGGGACTAATTTTTTCCTACAAGGCCTAGGTTGGCCTAGTAATCTAATCTAAAGCGTTTTCATATTGTTTGTAGTAAATTTTTGCTGTATTCGAAGAAGAAAAACTTTAAATAATGTCCTAAAAAGTTTGAAACTTTCGTAATTTTGGCCATTTTTAGTCGAAAAATCTATTTTACTTGCGCAAAAAAATAAATTTTAATGAAAATGTGTACACTTTTGTGCTTAGGAATGTGTAAAAACAATATACCAATACAGCCCCTATCTATATAACAAATCTAGGATGAATCTACGCAAAAAAAATTGGTTCCGCCCCTGGAATTTCCCTTCACCCCCCCGATAACCCTAAAAAAAAACCAAACCTTATTAAATAAGCTTAAAAAGCATCCTTTTTGCCAAAATGTAGGAAATAAAACGAAAGGGAGTAAAATGTCAATTTCATAAAATTTCTGTGTTTTTATAAGTCCTAGTTATTTTCGTTTAGTAAGGCAATTTATAAAAATAACTATTAGAGTATCTAAAACCTTTTAGTACCAGCACGGATACCGTAAATGAATCAGAGTCGGCAACCCCCTATGCACGAAAAGCGCCCGAATCGGCTTTCAAAAATCGGCGATATTGCATTATTCAAAAAGTTATTCGACGCTATGAGGTAAAAGCTTCTGGTACTGATCTATTTAGTGCGACAAAAAAACTGCGGGAGGGGGAATTGCCTGAAGCTTTTAGATATTTTTACAAGATTTCTTAACTTTATTCAACAGAGCAACCAAAAAAATTAAACCACGGGTTTTGATTATTATACTATACAAATTAGAGCAAAAGCAAAAATACCGTTTCGGAATGGGCAGAGTGGGTAAAGATGCAGTATATCTCGACAAATGCTAAATTTTAAAAAATTTCTAAATGCCAGTCGACAGCGCGTAAAAAATAGGCAGACTTTCATCGCGGCTCAAAAAAAAGAAAAATAGAAAGTATAAATAAACGGTTGTTCTGTTAGTGGGGCGGGAAACCTAGCTATCGCCTATTCTCCCGTAGGGTCCCAATAATCAAATACACACCATTTATACAGTTTTAAAAGCCGTTTTCAGGTACAGAAAGTTCAAAAAAATTGTATAAAAATTGCGAAAATTTTGGATTGAGGGTCAAAACTCTCTGCAAAAGGTCAAGAATTTCAAATTTTTATACTTTTTAAGAAGGTTTATTGATATTCTAGTAATCAAAAACCGCTAAAAACTCTATAAAAACACCCTACAAAACGCTAAAAAGTTCCGCTAGAATGGAATAGGCTAGACAGTATCCCCACCCCCCCCCGCTATCAGAACAGAACCAAATACGCTATAAAAAAGTTTTAATAAAAAGAACATTAGTGAAAATCTCCCCCTCCCTAAACAGATCAGTACCAATAAGCTTGAAAATTTATTATCCGACAAAATAAAAAAAAAAAAACTAGCCCTAGTCCTTCTCAGTGTATCAAGGCAAAGAGCCCTATGCTAGGTCACCCCCAGAAAAATAGCTGAACCAAAATATCTATCTAATAAGAGTCTACTCTAATATTAATAACCAAACCATTAAAAAGCCAAGCTACTACTATCGATAACCTTAAATACTCTATTTCAAGCTAATCTAACCTAATAAAAGCAAATGATGACCCTTACAAAAAAAATGTGTGTACAGCGCTTGAAAGTACTGGGGGTTCAGGTAGGGACAGCTGACGTGGAGTGACCGGACATCGAGAGGCATCAGTTACTCCACACTGTCCCTTTGCCCTAGTCTCAGTAACCGCTACCAATACCTTGAAAGTAACGGCGGTTCAGGTAGGGGCAATCAGTGGAGTTGGCCGGACTTCAAGAGGCATCGGCACAACTCCACAGTGCCCCTTCACCCTAGCGCCGATACCACTTTCACCCTCGCCCCATCGAATGCGTCTAAAAGCCGTCGGTTACAGACTTGAGTCTGCCCGACGCGGTCAAAACGATTTATTCGACGGAAAAAAAAATGTTGTTGGTTAGTATCTTACGATGGATCGGTGGGGCCGAGCCGTGAAGTGCGCGTGTCGTTCCTAAGAAATAAAACTTGAAAAATCAGAAACATGGAATATACCTTTGCCTAGGCCAAAAAAATAAATATCCCAAATCTTCGAATCATCCCGCGATGGCTGCCGCCTCGTCGAATTTATTCTGCTCAATCTGAAGCAAACCGAGTTCTTAATCCCTAGAAAGTACGCACCATTACTCTGGCCAAATGAGTTGTCAGCCACATCAACGGCTTCGCCTGTGAGACACGGGCAAGTCTAAAAAAACGATTAAAACTTGAAAAACTCCTTTTTCTGACCTTACAGCCTTGACAAGCGACGCCTCGGCTTCCGTGAGATTCCTATTGACGGTGTGCAGATTTCCGAGCACCGAAAGTAAACTAAAAAAGAAAAATACCAAAAATTTGCCTAAAAACGTACCGTACCCTTTCGAACGTGTGCACATCCCCGGCTACTTTGGGGCGATAGGCGTTGAGGAGTTGGATGGCCTCAGAGAGCTGGCCGGTACAGGCGTGATGAAGGGCCAACCTGGAGAAAATCCTCTTAATTTCTATATTTCGCAACCGAGCAATAAATATAACGTATCTTTAATGTTTTGAGTAGTTTTTGAGAGCTAGAAGGCTACAAAAAACTTTTAACCGTCTTTGAAAAATAGGAAATGTTGATATTTTTGGTAATTTTTCATGAATGTTTCAGCGAAAAGACACAGATTTTCGAAAGTTGTCATAATTTTTTTCATCTACAAACTGTAAAATACTATTCTATTAAATCCTTAAAAAATTGTAATTAGAGCTATTTCAGCCATTTCAAGGGAAAAAATCATACCGTATCACATGCTCACAGGGGCAGTACTGTTCGATGAGCGGCAATTGCTCGGCAGCCCCTTCCAGATCACAGCCGAACAGTCGAGAGCCGAACTTGATCAGCGCCTTCGCCAGCTTCAAGTGTCCTTTTATCTAAATTTAATTTTTTCTAAATTGACCAATCTACCGTACCCTATCACTGGCCCTCGGTCCAAATTGTGCGATTGCCCGGTCGACGAGTCGAAGGGCCTGTCCCCATTGACAGTCCAGCGTCAGCGCATACATCGTGTTCACGTTGAAAATTGCCTAAAAATCGTGAATTTTCGAAATTTCTTAGGAAACTTACATGAGCCTCGGTTTCGTGATATTTCGCGTATCGGTCCCCATTATTCGTCCCGTTCCAGCATTTCGCCATTTGGAACGTCTAAATGATTTATTAACTTTTTGGAAGGCTTATTTTTATTTGTTTTTAATTTAAATTGATCTATTGATTTTTTGGGTCTTTCGCATTATGATGGAGGAACAACTTTTTCTTACATTGAATTTTCAAATATAAATCGAGGCGGAGTTTCTAACGTATTTTTTTTACTATTCCTAAGCGTAAAAACTTCACATATTTTGTTAAAAATATGAAATTTACCTGATCGAGATGGCCGTGCAAGAGTAGGGCGGAAGACTTGATAGCATCGGCGACGTCGAGGTACGCTTTCTGCTCGCCCGTAGGATCATTTCCACGCATCCAGGCCGAAGTGGAGAACATTGGCGTTACGTTACTAAAAATTAAAAATCGTATTTCCACAATTTTACAAACCAATAAGTCGGCTTCCCACTGGAAATCTGGCGAATCGTATCCAGAAGTGTGTCGATAAATTCGACGCATTGTGCCTAAAAATAAATTTGTTTGTTTAAAAAACAAACAACCTGTGAAATATGCTGAATGGGACAGAAATAGGCGCTCTGCTTGGCCGGATCCTCTGCCTCTTCAATGTAGGCGCTCAGATTCTTGGTGGTGACATCGGCGCCAGGCGGGATGGGCACTCCCTCTTCTTTCTTTGCCCTCAGATCCATTGTCTCTCTTCAACCGCACTCCCATCATAGACATCGTCCGATTCTTGGAAAAACTAAAATAGATGAATCGGCTGCTTTTGCATTATCGGGGGGGGGATTTTTCGGATAAGCCCAGAAATTCCTAGTAACGTAACAAAAACATTTTAATAGTGTTTTTAGTAAATATCACTCGATTTCAAACCGAAAACACCTTACAAAATTCTCAGAAACTGAAAATTATGATCGAAAAATCGTAATTTTTATCCAAAACTCTAAGAATTTTGCGTTTAGGAATCGTGAAAACGGCCTGAGAAGACGTCCTTTATTTATATTCTAAAAAAATAAGACACCACCGATAATGCCAAAGCACCGAAAAACCCATAAAAAGCAAAATTAAAATTCGTACCCAAATATCCTCCTGGTCCGGGTAGTTCTCATGTTGATCGGGAACATACTTGGCGGTTGGACCCGTCCTTTCATGCTGATATTCTGGAATCTAAAACAATTGAATTTTCAGTTTAATGCAGCTTTATGCCTTCTTCTCCGCGACACCATCCGAAGTGTGTGATTGTCCTTACAGCCATGCGAAAGCATTATCTTCTCGTCCAGCTTTGTCTTTGCCATTGCACTAAAAAAATAATAAATCATGTTATTTGTCGTTTCTTACAAATTAAAATGGCAGGCGAGTCGAGAGCGGGGGAGTGTCCCAACGGAATCGGCACTAAAATGACGATTCCATCACATAAACCACAACTTACAAGTTTAGCCAGTGGCTAATTCGAAGTCGTCGTACGCGGGCCAACCGTTCGACATGCCACATCCCGTCGAAGCGCCTAAAAAAATACCTTTCCCTTGGCGTCGTCCGTCCGTCCTCCTTCACGCTGCTGGTCCTTGTAGTGACGTCGCATTGGCCGAGATAGAGCATCGGGGCAAAAGGGCAGTCCGGACATCGAGAGGCATCGGAAGCTGCCCTGATGCCCCTATCTCCAGCGCCCGCCTTTTCTTCTTTTCTTCGCCTCCATGGCACTGAAAGAAATTTGATAAGTTGCAGAAATTTTCATGATCAATTCCGGCAACGAAATATCTAGGTTAGCTAACTAACGAAAGAACTATCTATCTAAGTTATAGTCATAAGAAAGATTTTTCTAATACATTTTGGGGCAAAAGGGGGCTGGCCTGACCCTTTCCCTCCCGGCCTCCAGTGCGCGCCCCAGGTAAAGCCTGAGATGCCGTACTAGAGCGCAGTGAACTAAATCCTTACCCATAGAATCTCCGTATCGACCGTCAACAAGACACTTGGGGTGTGGCCGAAGTTCGCGCGCGTTGTGAAACCATACTCTAAGAGGTCTTCTTTAACTTTAATGGGCGTGTTCGATACCGTCTTCGTTGCGTCAGCCACGTGTTCATCCCAAGCCGCCTGTTGACCGATATAGGCCCCGAGAGCATCTTTGGCATTTCGAGCGACGCGTGTCAACTACAGAGATTAGTAGGTGCTACAAATATAGATTTTTGTCAATACAGAAATATTTACCACAGCAGTCATGATGGGATCGAGCTGCTTTCTCCGCTCGCAAATGGCCATAATCTCCTCGTCCGTTTCTTGCACTCGCCTCGGACAACGCTAAAAACGTCCAATAACTTCCATTTTCAAAATTTTCTTACCTGAAGCCAATGAAGTCGACTCAACACCCAATTCTCGGCCTGTTTGTACGAGTTGGAGAAGTGAGGGTAGAGACACGGCCTAAAAAGGAAAAATACGATGAATTTCTAGCGTGAAATACTTGTATTGCCACTCGCCGGCCAGATATTTCAGTTGTCTCTCAAATTGGCCGTACACCTCGTAGTCGGTCAGCATTGTAGTCGCCAGACTGAACTGGAAAACCATTTTCTGAGTTTAAAATGATGAAAATTACTTTTTTCAAAAACACAGCCACCAAGGAATTGCCGTTGATGATCGAATTCTTGATGTCGATGCCCAATTCCTCGATGAGAGTGATGTGCTCGCGAAGATCGCCCACTTGAACTTGTGAAATCCTAAAAAAAGGGTATAAATGCAACTTTTTTTGGCCTACACTTTGTCAAAATCCCGCAAAACGGCAAAATCTGCCCGGCAACTCGTCGAAGATCTTGATATGTCAACGGGCGGTAGGAGATCAATTGGTAAAACAGTAGGCCAAGCTAAAATTTTTTTTCAATATTTCCAACGCGATTTTACCTCGCACAGCAGAAGCGGGGCTGGGTGTTGATTTTCATCGTCGACGAAGCTCTCCAGCACGCGAATCAGGTAGATTAGCGCGACCTAAACATAACCCATAAATTTTCAGGTACTTATCAAGTTGGGGGGGGGGCCACTTTGGTTTTCGACTTTTTGAGTCTTTCTAGGCTAGTTTTTTGTGCTGGTTCGAATATAACAAAATCAGAGTAGTAAAACATAATTATCTAAACGTTTGTTAAGCGTTAGAGATGCAGACATTCGGTATTGACCTAAAAATAAGGCTTCGTGCCACCCGGGGCCTAGTCGCTTCGGATGGGCGCGAGCTCGTACAGGGTTGACCGGAGGAGGACGTACAGGAGCTCGTACCCGATTTCGGAAGAGTGGAGCGGCAGCCCATCCGAAGCGACGGCCCACCTTGCTTGACAATGCGGCAAGCCTCAAATTGTGTATAAGTACACTTTTTATTAATAAATTGTCACACTGTTTTTTCTGGATAAACCCAACCGTTTCGCATGTTGTTGCGACTCTAATCGCACTGAGCGTAAAAAACTACCCCAGAAAGACTCGAAAAAGCGGTAAAAAAGTGTCTCCTAATAGGTACCCAAAGTGGCCCCCCCCCCAACTTGATAAGTACCAATTTTCAAGTATTCTTCAATTACCTGCGGGTCTTGTATGGGGTCGATGGCGGCCATGAAGCATGGATAGACATAAAGGGCGTCGGTGGGGTTGAAGCCCGCCTGCTGCTCCGACATTACCTGAAAAAACACGCTACAATAGTTAGGAATAATTGAGTTGTAAAAGAAAACAAAAACAAAAAGAAAAGAAACCTTTTGCCGTGGGTGGTTTCGAATGGGCGGCTCGCGGCAGCGCCTACGGTCCACAGTTTTGGGCGAGATGGAAACGGGAAATGGTTCTTTCCCATTATCGGCGGGATCTAACCTGTTTTGGTCAAGTCAACTATATTTGAAGCACAAGTTCTACTAAAGTTTTAAAAAGCCGAAATCTGGCCAATTTTTGGCAAGAGTCTAGGAACCTCCCCCCGCCGTAACTTTTCAGATATGCGTCTTATTAATGTGTGGAGTAGCTCAAAATGTTCACCGTAGTCGAATTACTATCAAAAAGTTGTTTTCTTACACCAAAAATTGTTAGAAAATTTTGAAATTCCGAAATGCAACACCCCTAGTCGAATGAAGGTAGTTTCCTGCGTAGAATCTGAATATGAGTCTTGTTTTTCCGCCCGAGCTCATATTTTCTTGACAAAACCGATAGTTGCCTATAGATACTAGGGCCCGTAGGGAAGCAAAATATAGAGAAAAGTGTCGCGACACCGGCAAATGCGATTTTTAAACCATAAAAAGTTTGATTTACCCGCCCCTCCCCCGAAATCCGGCGGGCCCGAAAAAAACATAAGGGTCCCCCCTTATGATTTTTTTTCAACTTGAAAATTTTTTCGCCTGCGGCGCTGTTTTACTTACTTTTTCTTCATTTTTTAGCCTGCGGCGCTGCTATTTTAGCGAAATTTTTCGCCTGCGGCGCTCAAATTGCGAACATTTTTTCTTGCTGCCCCCCGAAACTTGGGGTCAGCTACGCCCCTGGCCTAATCCCTTCCTTGCATTGCTGTTTCCGCTTTGTTCATATGTTTTTTTTTGTTCTTTATCCAACAAACCATCCTCTTTCCAGATGCCGACGGTCGTTCTGGTGGCGGCCGTGGAGGTATCGTGCGGGAGGTGAGACGTGATGACCGTCGTAATGATCGCCAGGGTGGTGGTGGAGACCGTCGCCCGGATGATCGGTTAGTTCGCTATCGAATCCTCTAATTTATTGCTTAGAAACCGTCAAAACACCGTCTGCAAGCCCGAGCCGCCGCGTGATATGAAACGTCCCAGCAACGGCCACACAGCTCCCCGTGCTGATGGAGGCCGAGGTGGAGATCGAGGTATTTATCCTGGCGTCCTTAGCTTGGTTTTAGAAAAAAAATCAGTGATAAACATTTCAATTCTAGGTGGTCCACCCGGTTCCCGCACCATCCACCTGACAGGCCAGCCGTTGAGCGAATCTGATCTGATGTCCGAGCTGCCCAAGAAGAAGTTCACTGGTCGATGCAGGCTCTTTGTTGGCAACCTGTCGCACGATGTAAGGACACATCCTTGTACTTATTAACCTTTTTCCAGTTGAAAGAGGACGAGCTCAAGGAGCTGTTCAGGACGCACGGCGAAGTTGCTGAGTGCTACCTCTCGGGCAAGGGATTCGCCTTCGTCAACATGGTATATTCTTGTTTTTCTGCTACTGTTTTGGTGATTGAAATGGGTGGGTCATGAGCGTCTATCCTTGCCGTCGCCTCAGTTTTTCGAGCGCGGATCGGCAGAAGGTGTTTACCGATGTAATTTAGTTTCCGAAGTGTGTTTAGCGCAAATCGTTCGCAAAAAGGACGACGTGGAGAGCGTTTTCTATGCCTATTACCTGTATGACTCCTATTTTCTACGTTTTTGCCTTTGCTCGCTCCTTCCTTCCGTTGCGCGATGCCTTTTTCACAATTTTGGAAGCGAGCAGCTTCTTGACTGCTGTTACGACTACCGGACGTTTCAGACGCCGGTTTTTGTATGTTGGCATTTTTCGAAGCAATGCGTAACAACAAACAAAACCCAATCAGCGCGTTTTTTTATGAGTCATAGGAAATCACGCATTTGATAGCTGTTATTTTGTCCTGTGAAACAAACTGTTGAGTTGCCGGAAATCGGGAATCTGGGGTTGTAGGTGGAGTTTCCTCACCTTTAAAATATTTCGATTTTGCATTGTTTTCCCGTAACATAGGTGCGATTTTTTTATTCAATCCCGATTCCAGGATACGCGGGCTCATGCCGAAAGTGCCAAGGAGGCCCTTGATGGTACCCAACATCGCGGTCGTACTTTGCGCGTTCGTTCCGCCATGCACGGCGCCGCCGTCCGTGTCAAGTAGCTGTCTCACACCGTTTCGAACGAGATGCTCTACAACGTCTTTTCTAACTTTGGCGAAGTCGAACGCGCCATCCACGTCGTCGACGAGAAGGGCAGACCCACCGGCGAGGGAATAATTGAATTCGAACGCAAGCCTGCCGCCAACGAAGCTATTGCGCAGATCCGCGACAAAGTCTTCTTGATTACAGCGTACGGTTTATTCTAGCCTTTTGAGATTAGTTTGTAACTCGCGCGCTAGTATCGAAATCGATGATCGAATTACTGATTCCCGTTCCCGGCGAACTATATTTTTAGTGAATAACTGTTTCTCTAGGCTTTTGTAACGCGCTATATATCTCATAAGATCATAGAAAATTCCCGATCGTGTTGTTCATTCTGTGAGTTGCGCGTTTCTTTGCTTAGGCCGGTTACAGCGTGTTTTCGCTTCACAATTTTCTTTTTATCGGCCTCGTTCATCCAAAAACAACTAGACGCAAAAAACAACGTAACACGTACGTATGTAACATGACGTAACACGGACTCGCAGAAAGTACTTGCAGGGTCGCAGAGGTTTTCAGGGAAAAACAAAAACTGTTTATTACTGGGATTATTGATTCCTTTTTAGATCTGCAGCGCCGTCAGCAAGAGCTAGAGCGTCTCGAAGCCGCACGCCGTGAGCGTATGTCGAATATGGGCCCGCCCTCGATCAACATGGGACGAGGAGGACCGCCTCCGCACATGGTCCCGCCACCTTTCCAGTCCTAGCAGCAGCCAAACCGTGAGTTTTAGCTGCTTTCTATTTTTCAAAAAAAACACCTGTGGCTCTATTTATCCCATTTTTTCAGCGTTCTCTGGAGGTCCGCCTGGCCCTTTTGGGGTACCCTCGTTGGCGGTGCCGCCTCCGACTCATCATCATCAACAACAACATCCACAACATCAACAGCAACAATTCGCACCACCGCCACAGGTAATAACTTACTTTTGAATTGGACTAATCGCTCAATTTTAGCAGGGAAACCCCAATGGTCCACGTCCGAACGTGATAGAAGGTGTCCAGCGTCTCCTCCAACTATTCAAGAACGACGATGGCCGCGGCGCTGAGCCAGGAAATCAGCAGAACATGCAGCAAAATCGTGAGTGCTCACTTTTTTGCGCACTTGTTTTTTTTGATAAATACTTTCATTTAAAAGCATACAAATCAAATTTTCTTTTCCAGATCCCGGTGGTGCTTTCAACGACTATCAGCCGCGCTAGGGAGCGTCTGGCGACCACTACGGCGGCGGTTCGGATGCTTTCGGAAAACAGCCGCCAATGAAGCGTGGGAGGCGCTAAACATGATCTATTCCCAGTTACCTTCTTAACGTGTCTATTTCCATATTTATTCGTCATCCTATCCATGTGATCACCACCACCACTCGTCCTTTCCACGTTCAACGAGCTAGATGTGTAGAAGTTTTTGTGATGTGAAACGAATACAACAGGGTTCGATTTGGTGGGAGCAGAATCCCAGGACCACCTCCAGAAGGGCCGACCACCTCCAGACCGGCCGCGAAGCGGCCGAAAAATTTTTGGCATATTGTATGTGTAGATTAGGGAAAATTTCTGTATTTTTTTGTGTCTTGGACATATTATTGCGCGTTGAATTTTTGTAATTGTGAAATAAATATTGTGAATAAATGCTGAATTACTTGTTAATACTCGGTGAAACAGTCAAAAAAAGACGGAATGGTGACGGAAAGCTGAGGGAGAAGAAGAAATTCCAAAAATAATTCCTGCTAATTTCTCTACATTCTTATTCACCCACCACTTCAACTTCACTTTCGAGAAATTCCAGACTCTATATTATGGAATGGATAATATGGAAGATAAACAACTCCTTCCTATTTCTCAAATCTTTTCTAAACTATTAATGTTTCTCGGATCAGCTTCATGGCGGACAACGCTTAAACTCTTCTCAGCCGCCTTTAAAGGGACACGGACACGGGACTTTTCCGACCGTAGTTTTCCGGAACCGGCCTGAACCGCCTTCTCACCTACACCATTCGACGCGTCTTGAGCTTGCGCATCCGCCCATACCCATAAAAGGCCATGAAAAGTTTGTTAAACAACCTCCGACCCCACATTTATGCTAATTTTAGGCCAAAAACGCAGTTTTCCGGATCGAAATTTCCGGAAATGACTCGGATCAATTTCTAACCCACATCAATCGACGCGTCTTGACCTGCCGCATCCGGTGATGCCCATGAAAAGCCCTAAAAACTTTGTTAGACAACCTCCAACCCCCGATTTATGAGGATTTTAGGCCAAAAACGCAGTTTTCCGGCCACCGATTTCCGGAACCGGCTCGGATCAATTTCTAAGCTACACCAATCGATGCGTCTCGTCATTACGCATTCGGTGATACCCATGAAAAGCCATGAAAACTTCGTTAGACAACCTCCACCCCCCTTTTTTTGTTTTGGCCCCGTCGGGATTTCTGAAAATTCCGACCAAAATCTCGACCCTAGATCGTCCCCGTTCTCCGGCCTCTGTCTAGTTCCTGATTTCAAAACCACCTCCCTGTGTAGCCACAGATCACATCTTTATCCCGTAGAAGTTTTAGCCCCATCGGTTCGGCGGGACAAAAGATTATTGGGAAATAAAAATTTTGACCTTGGGAGCAAGCCTGGGATCGGCCCTTTTAGGTGTTTCCTTAATTCCAACTTTCTTCCTTTCGCCACCATCTCCCATAAAGATGTCGCATATCAGGTGATAGCTGAAAGTCTCCTCTAACCGATGGTGTGCTTTACTTGGCGTCATCTACTTCCTGCTACGATTTATCCGGGAAAAACCCTTGGGATCAAACGTGGGAGCAGCTGAAACCAGGACAAATAGGGGCTTGGAGGTTGTCTAACCAAGTTTTCATGGCTTTTCATGGGTATCACCGAATGCGTAATGACAAGACGCATCGATTGGTGTAGCTTAGAAATTGATCCGTGCCGATTCCGGAAATCGGTGGCCGCAAACTGCGTTTTTGGCCTAAAATCCTCATAAATCGGGGGTTGGAGGTTGTCTAACAAAGTTTTTAGGGCTTTTCATGGGCATCACCGGATGCGGCAGGTCAAGACGCGTCGATTGATGTGGGTTAGAAATTGATCCGAGTCATTTCCGGAAATTTCGATCCGGAAAACTGCGTTTTTGGCCTAAAATTAGCATAAATGTGGGGTCGGAGGTTGTCTAACAAGCTTTTCATGGCCTTTTATGGGTATGGGCGGATGCGCAAGCTCAAGACGCGTCGAATGGTGTAGGTGAGAAGGCGGTTCAGGCCGGTTCCGGAAAACTACGGTCGGAAAAGTCCCGTGTCCGTGTCCCTTTAAAGGCGGCTGAGAAGAGTTTAAGCGTTGTCCGCCATGAAGCTGATCCGAGAAACATTAATAGTTTAGAAAAGATTTGAGAAATAGGAAGGAGTTGTTTATCTTCCATATTATCCATTCCATAATATAGAGTCTGGAATTTCTCGAAAGTGAAGTTGAAGTGGTGGGTGAATAAGAATGTAGAGAAATTAGCAGGAATTATTTTTGGAATTTCTTCTTCTCCCTCAGCTTTCCGTCACCATTCCGTCTTTTTTTGACTGTTTCACCGAGTATTAACAAGTAATTCAGCATTTATTCACAATATTTATTTCACAATTACAAAAATTCAACGCGAAAGGTAATATTCGATTGTCGTCATTGTCGATCGCTTCTGGTGCTTCTGCGAAAAACATGGTCTAAAGTAGTTTTTGGGCCATTCCTTAGCCATTTTCAGTTACCTTAGGTTAAACCAACAGCACAGTCTTTAATAGTTGCTGGAATACCCGCCGCGAAGCGGCGAAAAAATTTTCGCGACCTTTTTTTGACCACCTCCAGGCCGGCCTACCACCTCCAGAGAAATTTTCCCAATTCTCCCAACCAAATCGAAGCCTGGAATACAATTTACTCGGCCGTGTCTCTTATGAATAGTAGCTTGGCGCGGCACCCCTGAAGCCGATTCACGTTTTTTAGGTATCTTGCTCCAATAATAGACGATGTGCTACGCGGATGAGAAGATTGAACGCCAGGAGTATCTCCGCGCTGATAGTTGTCTGTTGGAAGTGTTTTGTTGAAATGGGTATGAAATTTTGTATAATCAGATGCTATTGTAGGACCTGCGAAAATAAAACAACAATAACAATTTATTTTGGGAACATCACTTTAGATGTTGCCATCGGCCTTCTTCTTATCCCTCAGGGCCCTTTGGTAGCGCTGCCGTTGCCTGCGGCTGTAGGGGCCCTTCGTGGGGATCTAAAACAAGGTTGGCGGTAACATGTATTAACATTACCTTCAGAACTTCGGGTTGGTTGACCACTTCCTCCACCTCCGCCATGCCGACCACCGGTGCCTCCGCCCTGGTTCCAAGCTGTTGCGGCTGCTGCATCAGCTTTGGCTGGTCCTGGAACGAGGTGAATCCCGGGGAAGGCAATGGCTGGCGAGGCGGCGGCAGCGGGATCTCCGACGGCGATAACGGGGGGCTACGCCGTGGAGAGAAGCGGGGAGGCGTGGACGACGGGGACCAAGACGGCAGTCGGGGTAGCGGCGATGGCGAGGGTGGCTGGTAGGGCCGGCTCCTTGGTGTCCCCTCTACCCTTACCTGTAAAAAACATGTTTAGATAATTCTATGAACAAACTCACCGCGGTGGCGCGGTATTGGACTGGCCCCAAGCAGTCGTTGAGGCCCATGGCGAGGGTCGCGTCGACGACGACGAAATCGTCGCGACAAACGCCATCGACCGTATTGAGCAGCCACGCCGGGACGAGCACGCGCTTGTCAAATCCGTCTCGGCCCGGGATGACGACCGTCAAGCTCCGACGGCGGGGCTCGAGCAGGGTGACCCGGCCACGGACCCCGACGAGATTTGTGTTGGCCGCCGCCACCTGATATTATACATAATATTTAGATTCGAGATCTGCACCTCTTCTTGTTGACGGCGCCATGCCGCTCTATTGGCTTCTCGCCATTCGCGCGTCTGGGCTTGTCGAACATGGGCTGCCGCTGCCCTTTCCTGTCAGGTAAATTATTAGAACGTTGGTTTTGCAGATGAACCTCTTCGGCTTCGATGCACTCGGCGCAGTCCGCCCGGAAGGTGTGGCTTCCGTGCGGGGCGTCGTTGATCGCCTTCTCGATCCTGTCCAAGGGCTGCTGCCACATGGACCTATAGTGTATTTCTATTATAATTCACGAAGCTTTTCAGGAAAGCGTCATCATACTCTTCTCACAACGATATTTTTTATGTGCAGCCGTTGGACACATCGTGGCGAGCAGTCTATTCGTTGTTCTATCTTTTTTATGCGGAAATCATGACAGAGGACGGTTCTTCGACAATAAAGAAAGTCAACACGACGCGCGGATAGACCAAGGAGAAACATCGGTGATCGTGATTTCTCTTTTTCAGCCGGCAATCCCTCACTGTCACTTCGCCATGGTTTGTGCGGCGGCTTCTTCTGGTCAGTGGCCTGTGACTACGATTACGACTGTAAAACACTTTATCAATGACGAAAACTTCATTTAATATTCAATATTGATCATTGAGGGGATTGCGCATCATCATCTTCGTGTCTTCGTCACTGTGCTGCTCTAAACGTAAAGGTATACGACGACATTTTTTGGCGGGACACTCGTCAGAATGGTAGTTCTTTTTAGGAACCGGGCCAAAGTGTCCCTTTAACCAGTTTCGGCCCTTTAACCCATTGACTGGACCAGAAACAGTAATACCAAGGAGAAAAACTACGTTTAAAATCGGGGTTTGGACATGGCAACTCGTCAAATCGCAAAATATTACGCATGTTCTCAACAGACTTTGTAGCCGGATACGACATCGTCAGCATTATTTCATCATTGCGCCAGCCTCTTCGACCAAACGGCAAGTAGCGCGGACGGCTCAATCGGTTGGCGTGCTAGCGTCTTTCTTGTCATTTATCGCTTCTAAACACGCAAAATTTACATTTAACGACCCTGACCAACCTGCGAAGCTTCCTATCGTTGGCGTCTTTTGGGACAGCTTTTTACAGGGGGGGAAGCGTTTTTTAGTGACAAACTTGCCTTCAAGATTCTCGTCCAAGAAAGTGGGGGGGGGAGGGGGATAATACCGTACTATCAACTGCTTCGACCATCCCTTTCGATACATCTCCATTGTTCTCGCCATCCAGGTCCTCTTCGCCTTTTTCTGTTTGCCATCATCGCCCATTATCTAAAAAAAACGTAAAGCGGCGAAGTAAATTTTCATAGATTAACCGCAATCCCGCTTTCCCTCATCACACTCGTCACGGACAGCGCGATGGGCTGATGAACCATTAAAAAGGGAGCAAGGCAGGTAAAAAGCAATGCAAAAATGACCAGAAGCAGTGTTGGTGGGCAATAGTAACAAAGAAATAAACAACAGCAATAGCTTAATCAAATTGCGAACCGCTTTGGTTTCCTTTATAGCGTTTGGTAGGATGCTATGAACAAAAGAATTTTTGATTCTTCTTGCGTATAAAAATCAGTGCGGGTTAAAGAGATGAGGACGGCATCTGTTGAACCCCCCTTGGGGAGAGGCGGGGGGGGTAAACAGATGCAGCGGTGAGAGAGGACGCCCAGGGGAGAGGCGCAGAGACATTTTCTATCCCGCGCGTAATCAATTCACTTATGCCGCCCCTATCCCTTTAATGAGCAACTTTTTTCACCCTTTGTTAACGCCTCATCAACCTAATAACCTAGGCGGGGAAAAGCTAGCCGAAAACTCAAAGGACCAAAGAGCGGCACAAGAATATATTCCAGCAAGTTGAAACGAAGCACTCATTATAAGGCCTACGCTCCGAACTTGCCTTCAACATCCTAGGCCATGATGGGGGGAGGGGGGTAAAAATTTACTATCAACTGCTTCGACCTTCCAACTCGATACATCTCCATTGTTCTCGCCATCCAGGTCCTCTTCGCCTTTTTCTGATTGCCATCATCGCCCTTTATCTAAAAAACACGTAAAGCGGCGAAGTAAATCGACATAGACTAACCGCAACTCTGCTTTCCCTCATCACATTCGTCACGGACATCGGGATGAGCTGATGAACCACTAAAAAGGGTTTGTATAGGCAAGTATTAAGAAGAAGCATTGAAAAAATGGAAAAGCAGCCGGCTAGTAGTAGAAAGTCTTAAATAGACGGGAGGGTTTTTGGCCCTCTGACGTAAGTGTGTGCCAGGGCGCGCTTTAGCAGTGACAGAGTTCCGAGCGCTCCACATTACGAATTTTCGTAAGGTGTATATAACGGAACTTTTTCCAGCGTAATATCTTTCTATCGATAGAAAGATATTACGCTGGATAGCTATCAAATGCTTCTGCGAAAAGTTTAATAATATTTTGTTAATTGTGTGTAATTGATTGTTTCACAGATTCTTCAGCACTTGACGTACAAACTATTTTCAGATGGCGCGTAACAGGCTCAAATGCCCAGTTACAGATTGTGATTATAATAATTGTTACTCAAACAATTTGAAGCAGCATTTGTTGCGCGAGCACGGTATCACGGACTATCGGCCACCACCGCCCGAGGCAAAGGAATTTGCATGTGAGGTCTGCGACAAAACGTATGGAACGGCTCGAACACTGCGCGAGCATAATCTACGGAAGCACGGCGCATCAACTTCCAGCTCAAAGCTCAAGTGTCCCGAATGCGAGGAGCCATTTGTCACCCAGAAACAGCTAACTGCACATTATGCTGAAGTTCATAGCGCCCAGTAGGTCAAATGCTTTTATCATATGTCACATATCACATGTATTATTTCACGCACCGATTTCCAGAAAATCACGTATTTTATCTTCCAGGAGACTTCCTTCCATTCCAAGAAGTGTGGGGTCAAACGCATGTGAATGATCCGAGCAATATTCGATATCGACCTCTCCAGTATCGGAAACCGTAGCCTTAACAAGTATCATATATCACCAGCTTCAGAAATTCATGCTTACTTTCAAGAACGCAGTACAGCTTTCGTATTTATCGCTATCATTTCTTCCCGTCCTAGCCGCATAATTACAGCGGAAATAGTGGTTCGCGCCAGAGGTCCTCCGCAGATAGAAGGAGGTGCAGGACTCGTTTTCGGTAGTCTTAAGCCATTCACGAAAGACTTTCATGTTTTCAACGGTGGTTTTGTGAATCTCATGCCTATATGATTCTAAATCTTGCTAGGGAACCTTCTAAAGGTGCTGTATCATGAAGCTATGATGAGAACGAGGCGTTAGAAGTTTCGTGTTTAGCCGCTAGGTGAATATTGGGG